GTCACTTTGAGAGGTTTCACCAGCCATTATTGAGCTGGGACTTAGTATTTAATAGGAGATAGAATAATTGTCTCTTCATCAGCTCTCCAGAGATCACAATAGTAACTGTCATGAGAATTAGGATTCTTGACATTTTCCCAGAGTCTGTCTTTGAACAGCACCGTTCAAACAAGCTGCATGTACGGCCCCTTCTTGAGCGACTTTCCAAGACGAGCTCCACCATCCGTCCCCGGTGCGTCATAAACAAACGACAGGAAGAGATGGGAGGAAAAAGACTCAGAAGAAAGGGTAAACTACTGCATGTGGAAGAGGCAATAGGAGAGGAGGAAACAGCTTGACAGGGCATCTTATCTTCACTGTGTTCTTCCTCGCGGTGCTCAGGCTTTAAGCTGCTTGCTGAAAGGTGCAACACTGAATTCATGCAGCAGGTTTCGCTCGCTTTTTCTTTTTCTTTCTTTTTTTATTTTGTATTTTGCTAGCTGCTCTTGCAGAAAAAAGGCTGAAGATAAGAAAAAGAAACAGATTCTATTCACAAGTCATCTTATTTGTGCTCTCATTTGGTATGTGGTGAAGAGGGTGTATTCAGATAGTGAATACCTCTTTGTGTCTCCACATGACAGCCGCAAATAAACACAAACTGACAACACATACACGCGCAATTCAAAATGTCCAATCTGTGTTCCAAACACTGAGGAAAGGTTAGCACCGCTGCCAAAAACAAAAGTTGTTTGGAACGAGTTTTCCACCGAGACGAGCGGACTTTACAAATGAAATTGAATCAAAACAGATATAAAATGCAAGACAGGGGTTCACAACTTTTTCCAACCAATGTCCCACTTGAAAATCTCAAAAATGTTGGCGGCCCTCATCTGTCCCCATAACAATATGAAAGCAGGGAAACACAATATATACAATGTGGTCCGGCCCAGAGAACATAGAGTTCCCATCATCGGCTTAGCTACGAGAAAAAAACAAAAAAAAAACAATGAAGGAGTTTTTGTTTAATATCATTTCATCCAAAACATTTAAAATTTTTATTTTTTCATAATTACATCTTTTCACCAAAATTTTACTATTTTGCTAAGGATTCGTCTGCCCACTTGCAATACCTCAGTGGTTCAATACTTTAGTGATTTAAAGCGTTTGTCCTAATTACCTGTGAAACACTGCTATCGCTCTCTACTGTCATAATAATAGAAAAAATGTATATAAATATAAATAATATACATCTAAGAAATCTCATATTGTGTATTGCTGTTTGAATCTGTCACTTATTCATCTAAAAATCCATGAATAAAATCAATCTAATCTGTAATGACATGGTTTAATCTCTCAGTCAGAAGGGTTGTCCCACAGTATTAGTCATTACAGTTCATACAGTCAGCTTTGCTTTGCAGTAGTTGCCGAGAAATTCTCATAACTTGCTCCTCACTCATTTCCTCCTCTCGCCAAAGGAAATTGCCACACTTGCCACAGAGTTGTTTCAACATGTCTTTTTGGTAATTCCAGGGTAAATGAGGTCGTTGCAGAGCTGTTAATCAATATCTTCTGTTATGAAAGTAATAAATAACACATCAGGAACAGCAAACCAGACGCCTGCAGTGGTTCATTAGCTTCTAACATTGATCTTTTAATGTGGTTGTTTCATTTTTAATTTTCTAATTATTTTATATGCTTACTGTCTTTTTGGTACCATGTATTAATTGTAACGTGTATTGGGACCATGCTGCATGGTGATCCATAAAATTGATTGATTGATTGATTGATTGATTGAAAGGCACCAACGCAGTTTTTATTAACACTGCAGTAACATGTTTTTTATTTTGATCTGCAAACTGTCAGAAATCCCCCTTGAGGCTGCCTAACATTGCTATCTCCGATGTCATCTGTGAATTAGTTGTGGCTGACCTAATGCACCTTGTTTGAAAGCTATTTCATGGTCTAATTGTTGCTGGTGGAGAATATTAAGGTAGCACTGTGTCTGTTCACATCTAAAGGCCAAGGAAAGTGCTGTTGGTGAGCAAGGCTGTTGATGTCAAAATACAAAATGTTTTGGGCGCAAGCCTTGCACGCTCCTCAGTAGAACGTGTAAATATTTACACAGGGGTATGAGTCAAGCCGTTTTCTCCTGACTTTCTCTCTCTCTCTCTTTCTCTCTTTCTCTCTCATTCTCTCTCTCTCTCTCTCTCTCTTTTCTCCTCCTCTTTCTGGGTTGTTCTCTATCTTCTCTTCAAATCCTCATCACACTTCACACAGACTGTGTTGCTGTATTCTAGCGCCTGTGGTCTGTTACTCTTACTGATTAGCCTTCCTGTTGCTGCAGAGGAACTGTGAGCAGAGAGATAAGGAAAGTGAGAGCACATGCTTTTGCAGTAGAGGGAGGTGGAGGAGAGAAGAAGCAACAGATACAACACAAAGGGCAAAAGGCTGGCTAATTAGGAAATCAACAAAGGTCAACACAGGCCTCTTGGTGTGTTTTTTTTTTTTTTTTTGGAGACTGGGTGTCAGGAAGGTTGTGAATGTAAAACAGCAACCTGGAGACCAGATGGGGGCAGGGGTCCGGTTTGGACCGGCTGTGTCCCAGCAGAAGCAGTGGGACTCAAGCAGAGCTGAGGTGGTGAAATATCAGAAGAGTTCTCCTTTGTGAGGCTGTCAGTGCTGAGAAACAGACCAACCTCAAACAAGCCCGCACAGGCAAGGATTAAGAAGACCTGCATAAATCCAGGGAACAAACTGAGAATGTGAGAAGGGGGGAACCAGAGTTTAAGAATCCAGGGCACTGAGGATCACAGCGTTGGATATGCATGTTGATGCACTTTGACTCCCCTGGCATGAGACACGTGGGCGAGCAGGACTAAAGGGAGGATCAGGCCTTGTTATTAGATCCTGCTCTGGATTGAGGACAGTTTGCACCACGTACGGCAGGTGCTGCGGTTCTGTCTGCCTGAGACGTGAGTCGACATACTAAAAAGTACACGAGGGGGGGAACTGCGTGGGAGGGAGACAGCCATACAGAACGAGACAGCCAGTTTCAAGTGGAGGCTGGGGGAGTTTTCTTTAACTGGTCGGCTCCAGCAGGGCCAGAGCTGGCAGCGATGAGTCAGAGGAAGCTGACACGACAGCTGAGGTTGTGGGAGAGTCCTGAGGGTCCTCCTCCTGCACCCTCTCTCACCTCACCTCTGTCACCGGTCGATCAGTATCGTGGACACGGGGGCTCTTCTCTGTTTCGGCGAATGAAACTGAACCGCAGTATTCAGGATCACAGTCGCTCATCTCACTGTATTTGCAGGTACAGTTCTGCATCCAAGCCACTGATCTGTAATTTGTCCCAGTTTTACAAAGAAGCTGTAGTGATTTATGCTTGATCTGCATCTCTTCAGGTGAGGAGTGAGTATTTGTGCAATGTGACTGTCATACAACTCACCAAAAAAGATTTCAGAGAGAATTATTCCATGCACATGCTGTAATAACCCTTGCCAGATGGTTGAGATTTGGGGAAGTGCCGAATTCAGAAAGCTGAAGTCTCATAATTAGTCTCAAAGTTTGCAGAAAAAAAATAAAAAATACGGGGATTAGCGCATACAGCTTGTGGAGGGTCTCCCTGGCAAGACATTTTTGATGTGTTTTTCATCACTGAGGAAACTTGTTTAATGATAATGTGATCTGTAACCGTAGTCACAAAGCCTTCTGGGGGAGAGGAGTGGCTCCTAATTGGCCAATTTAGAAGTAAAATCTAAAAATATCACTCTTCACGCTTAATTTTAGAAGTGAAACTGAAAGGTGTTCACAGCTGTGTTGACAACAAAAGTTTGAGCAGTTTGGGAGGAGTGGGGAGATGCTATGGAGATAAAAGTTCTACTACATTAAAAATAGATGCTGCAGCTACACTGCAATCTGCTTCCCTCTCTGTCCTTGTCATCCCAACATTTGACTGCAGCCTAAAAGCGACTATTATATATTAATATTATTATGCATGGAAGTCTTGCAGCTGATGTAGTGAATAACAAACCTTATAACAATTTAAGCAGTACACGTTTCACAAATATTGTCATGTGAATTGGCATCTGTCTGTACTGTTCTTACAAAATTCACAAAATATGACTCGAAACCCCCTCTCAATCGATAGTGAATTCATTTCTTGGCTGAGAGATCTAATCTTTCTTTCATCTGAAAAAAAAAAAGAAAAAAAAGTTGCAGTTACTGAGGGCTGCTGGAGAATAGAGGCTTCCTGACTGCAGGTGTTGGTGAAAAAGAGACGAGTGTAACTGGAGAAGCGTGTTGCCGTGTCCCCTTTGGCTAAGCTCGACTTTGAGTGGATCTGGCAGATTAGTTTCTGCCTTGCGTTTTGGGTTTAATGTTAATCAGCAATGTGCTGGTCGAGCCGATGCTGCGTGGACAGATGCTGTGTTTCACTCCAAAGCTGAAAGGAGAAGACAGACATTTATTTAGAGGACTGCAAAATGTCCAAATGTGCCTTAATCACTGCCTCTGTTTGGATGCTAATATCCACCTCGTGTCTTTTTCTGGTTGATGATGATGTTTCTTAATGATAAATCAAATAGTCTTCAAGAGATCTCAATCCAAATCAAACATCTCCGTCACTCTCGTATTCAGACAGGCAGCTTTGGCCCAGAGAGAGAAACTGGGGTTGATCTAGTTCATTTGCTCACTTAAACACAACTCACTCAAAAATGTGACTTGTCAGTAATGTGTAATTCTCAGGGCAGCCTGGTGGCAGTCTGCCAATCCAGCGGTACGGCAGAGTCGCAGCTGTACGGGTTCAACGCTGCAGCGCGTCACATCTCTCTTCCTTCAACTTCCTTTCTCAGAAACTAGAAATCGTAAAGGAGGGTGGTGTGAATTGCTTGTGTTTGGGTGTTAAGGATGATCTTGCCACTTATATGGTGTTACTATCAGATGAGAGCAGCAGCCGAACGAACACCTAAATGAAATGCAACACATGCAAACCCAGTTTCCGCCCTGTTTTCTGAACCCCTCAGCTTCGACTCAGAGAATGGTCCCTCGCCAGGCCGCAGTCCCATGGATTCGCAGGCGAGTCCTGGGTTGGTGCTCCACCCTTCTTTCCCCCAGAGTCAGCGCAGGGAGTCCTTCCTGTACCGCTCGGACTCGGACTATGACACATCCCCCAAAACCATGTCACGCAACTCCTCCATCAACAGTGAGGGGTAAGCATGAAGCCATCATCCTGGATCCATCACCATCACGTGGCAGACAGAGCTGAAACATGTTTTTTTTTAAACCCACAGTTTACTCTCTCTCTCTCTCACACATACACACACACACACACACACACACACACCACCGTGACTGCACATTATCCCAATCAACACAGCAATGGTTGTGATTGTAATTATGCAAGCATTATGCTAATGAAATGATGATGAATCCTCTTAACATTAACTGTTGTGCTCTGTTTCCTGGCTTGTCTTTTGGTAAGTTTAAACCACCCAAAACCTTCCATTAGTGTGTTTCTGGATTATTTCTCTGTTTAGACCCACATAGATCTTTGCAAACGCCCAGCTCTCAGATACAGCCTCTCATATAAACACTAATATTGAGCGCCTTACACCACTCACATTCATCTCATTCTCCACTTTTTTTTCTCTCTATCCATCTTTTGCCCTGCAGACACGCCGAAGACATGATCGTCACCCCTTTCGCTCAGGTATGTTTTCCTCGTGCACCTCGTCTGCCATGTTTAATTGCTGTAAATGACTAGAAAAGGTGGCTAATTAGTGCAGTGAACTTGTCCCCCCTCCCCCTGGCTCCCTCCTTCCTTCCCTCTTCCTTCCTCCCTCCTCCTTCTTTCCCTCCTACGCTGTCCATCCATCCCCCAGGTGTTGGCCAGCCTACGAACTGTAAGAAGCAACTTCACCATCCTCGCCAATGTCACAACACCCACTAACAAGTCAGTATCATGCTGTCAGACACCCCTTCCCCCCACTTACACTCGTCACGACTGCCTGCTTTGTTTGCAGTGTGTGTTTGCTGATGTCTCCTTCTCCTTGCTCCCGTGGGGAAACACTTTTGCCATCATGATTAACTGGTTTATACTTATCAGACTATGCTCAAGGAAAATATGATCTGTGTTATTTGGCATCACGCCAGCTCGCTGACTGAGGACTGAGTGTAGAGAACACCATGTATGTCCCTGTCTCTGTACCCAGACGATGCAGACGGTCAATAATACTAAAATTATTTTCCTTTGTAATGCAGCAGACAGAAGGAGCTAGAGTTGGCAGGCTTTTAGCTCCACGTCAATAAGATATATAAAGCAATGCACCACAGAATTATCAGCATCTATAATTATGCAGTGTTGTGCCCTGCGAATGCCTCCCTCATTTCACAATTATGAAACCATGAAGGCTATTTTAGAGGAGAGAAAAGCTCAGGCTTTGTCTTAGACTATTTTTGGATACTTCAATATTTGAAGTGAGGCAGGGGAATTTTTATGGACTTTAAAACATCCACACATTGCAGCGTTATCCAATATTCAGAGACATTTTAATGTAGACATGCACTCTTCCATTTGTTTCTTTTTAGGGACGTATAAATGAATAACATACATGAACACGTTCATATCCCCTCTGTGAGCCAAGGCTTTTGTTGCCTCATCCTGTAATGCTGAGTGCCTGTTGAACCCCAGCAGGGGGCAGCAGTGTGTTGTTCTCCCTCTGATGTAAGGATGTGTTTGTCCACAGGAGGTCACCAGTGACAAGCCAACCCACTGTTCCCCAAGCTACACTCTCTGGTATGTTGTCTGCTAATTAAAAACTCTTAGTCCAAAGAGTCCCACAGTCCCCTCACGCTGCATTAAGGACACACTGCGGCTCCCACATTCCCCAAAAGCATCATCAGGAATGAAAATGACTGCAGAACATCACATGGCTATTAGTGAAGAACTGTTTAATTAACCACACTGCACACATTTGAACAGATCTTAGATAATTATAATGCTTAAGATACAATAGATGCATGGGTTAAGAAAAAGCTTTTCATGCATACAGTAGATGTGTAAAGTACATTTTTACTGTCACTACACTGAAACTGAGACTTAATGCTTTGACCTACTTTTATTTGTTAAAAGACAAATGTTGGGCAATCAGCACTGCGCGGCTCTTTGAATAGACCCCTCAGAGTTTGATGCTTCAGCACTGGAGTGCCTGACATGAACACTTTTATTTACTTTTAACCAAACACTTCATATTTGAGGCACAAACACTATTTTCTGACAGTACATATTATATTTACATTCAAAGAGTTTGACCGGTAGTTATATATGTATGTATATATTTTATATTTGTTACTCAGCTTTTAATAATCTCACATTTAGCCCAGTTTTACATGTTCATATGAGACTTCATTTTAGTTGTCTATTTTAGTACATAAATGAAAACACCTGTCCATCAATTTTAGAGTGAAATCTATTGTATGTTTTGAATTTAACTATGTTAACAAAAATTACAGATATGAAAACATTACTACAGAATCAGAAAGAACAAATACATCATGTTTAATTACTCTCTAATGTGATTATATATTTAATTGTAGAGTGATATCTGTATGATTTGTATTTAAATTATATTATATTTGTGTTATTTGGCGGATCATAATTTAAAATAGTGACCTGTCTTACTCTGTTTACAGATATCATACTGATATAAAAGCATGTGACATGTATGTATATCATATGTTTTAACTTTTGTTGGTGTATTGGTACATTTGGATTACAGTTGAAGCATTTTTTTCCCCAAAGCAGCATTATAAATGCATGCTCTTTTTTTTATCATAGGTGACCAAAATGGAAACTTGGAAACTCAGCTCTTAAACTGTAAATCCAGTTAGTGTCAAATTCCTGGGCTGCAGGATGGGACCGTAACAGCAACAGATCACTGAGAATATTATATGCTTTTGTGCCACTATCTGTGCTCTTCCTCTACTGCTGGTCCACATATTTTCTGTGTGCCTGTCCTTCCCAGAGGAGACGTACCAGCAGATGGCTCGGGAGACTCTGGAGGAGCTGGACTGGTGTCTGGACCAGCTGGAGACCATTCAGACCCACCGCTCAGTCAGCGAGATGGCCTCCAACAAGGTCCCCACACAAACTCACTGTCCTTCCACCTCTGTTAACTCAATATGGTGCCAGGCCTCTTGATGAACATATAAACTGTGTGTGTTTCACGGTTTACGAGAATATTTCACCACTCCATGGGAAATGATTATGAATGGGCTGCAGATGCGCCACTCAGTGTACAAAATACATTTTTGCTAACTTCCTGTTTATGCTTCCACTCTTTGGGGAGTACAAACAATGCAGCTCCACCAAGGTAAATTATTGAAGTGAAGTGAAAAAATAACCCTGCAGGCGTAGAATGTAAAACTTAGTAGAAATACTTTTAACAACACTGCATTTGGGAAGTAAAAGCCCTCGTCTGGCTTGTCCATTCTCCTCTAATTTATTGATCCATAACACATTTTCACATAATATTGTTTAGAAAATGGCTAATCAGCTGTTGAAGTAATCATGTGCTGCTCTTTCTACTGTAGAAATGCTTGGAAAAAATATATATCCTCGGTTTATTTGCAATCCTGTGGCAGTAATTGCATTGATAAATCATTAACGTGGCCTGCACCACATATGTGGTCTACCATCCTCCGTGGCATTTGTTAAACTACATTGACAAACATTATTGGTTGCTGTGGTTAAGTATTGGTGTTTACAACTGCAAGGGATGCAGCGAGGTTGTATTGGATTTTGATGCATTTTGCATCATCTACATCTACATGTCTGTGTGTGCGCACATGGGCAGGCTTCTTAAGTATGCATGCATTTGTATTTGTGGAGACATGGGGACAGAGAGAGAGAGAGAGAGAGAGAGAGAGAGAGAGGAAGAGAGAGGGGAGGGAGGGTGACGGTCTGTGGGTGGGGAGGACATGAGAGGGAGGGGGGAATGGGTCCTGATGCTGATGTCTCTGCTGTAACCTTGGTTGCTATCGAACAGCAGCAGGGTCTGCCCTTCCCTTGTAGTCATTGGTTTGCCACTCTGACCACAAGCCATGTGGTTTGGGCAACAACCAATGATATAGAAACAATGCTCCTTTAATAGTGTTCGGTCTTAAAGAGACAGTGTCGTGTACCCTGTTTGTTTTATTCTAGAGATTCTTCCCGTGTTGCAATTAACTATTAATTAGTGGTGGGTTTACAATCAGTTCGGCTTATGATGACATGAGGGAAAGATAAAAGCAGAGTGCTTAAAGGATATCGCGTATGTGTGTTTGTGAGTAAATGTGTGTGTGTGTGTGTGTGTGTGTGTGTGTGTGTACATCTATATGCGTGCACATACAGTGTGCAAAGAGAAGTCTCCCGGGGTAAACAGAGTCTCTGTGAATATGATGCCGCCTTTTAGCAGCCGCAGCTAAGCCACAGAAATCCTCCGCACCGTGCCAACATGGAGGTACACACATGAATGTTCCCACTCAGTCTCTCACTCTTACTCACACCCTCGCTCACACACACATATTTGCGACAGACGTACATGCCGTCTTGTCGCACATGCGCACTCAGGCTCCGAGCAGAGGCAAGCACCGACACAGACACACACGCACGCGCACGCGCCTGCAGCCACACTGCCTGATTAGCTTGCGAGAGCTGTCTACAGCATCCAGGGAAATGGCGCAAGAGGCAGTGCATTGGAGGAGGAACGGCAGCCTAAAGCGGCAGGATTAGACCTCTGGCACTTCGGCCGGCTGAGACATGGATTGACTCGGAGCAGGGGGAGCGGGCTACAGAGCTATCAGGAGGCAGTCTGACTGACTGTGGACTGACTGCGTGTCGCCGGGATCGGTGTGAGACGGTACAGACGGGTTGATGCACGGGTAGGACTGGGCCGGGCCTCTGGATCCGTACCGTGGGGGAGGGGCAGTCGACGCAGGGAGAGGGAGCGTGTTTTTCCAGACCACAGCTCTGGTGTGATTCTCTCAGCCTGACCGTCTGCTTACAGGCCTGCCTGCATCCCTCTCTGTCTCTTTCTCTCTCTCCCTCTCTCATCCTCTCCATCCTTGTTTTTCTCTTGCTATCATCATCTGCCCCCCCCCTCCCCACTTTTCCCTTCCCTGATGTTCCTGCTGTCATCCAAGCTCCCCTTACCTCCATCATTCGATACTACAGTCATCTTTCCGCTCGGCCGTCACCATCTCTCCATTCCTCTCACCTCCATCATCTGAATTTTTTATTACTGTTCGTCAAGCAGCTCAGCTCCAACAACATCATTTTTTCGTTTACATCTCTCACATTCCCACTCATCTCCTCCATCGGCTCCTCTCTGTGCCCTTCAGACGGTCCCTCGCTCCCTCACCCCTTCTGTTTCCCTCCATCTTCCCTCTTTCGGCTCCCATCCACCTCTACCCTGCAGTGACTGTAGATTTGGGTCAGTCTGCTCAGCAAATGGGATGAGATGTAGTCTCCACAGCAGCCGGATCCAGGGGGCTCCTGGTCTGCCCATCAGGGGGACCCTCATCTTTGGACCACACTGAGGCTGGAGCCTGACTCTGGACTGACCGGGTGGCCTGCTTTGGGGTGCTGCATGTAGGCAAGGACAGTCTGCACCAGCAGCCCCTACCCTCACCCCCTTCCCCTGTTCCTTCGCCCCCTCTCGGGGCAGCCGTCACTCTGGAGTGTCCCGGCTTGACTGGCTGTGGCCTCTCCCCACACACCCGGACGACGCCCTCATGCCACTGGGGCACCTGCAGTGCTCCGACCCCGCTCCACTACCGCACCTCCTGCCTGTGCCATCGGCCCAAACCCCCCGTTACCCTCAACATGGGTGTGGTGGAGGCCATTGACCCGGCGCCGTCCCCCTGCCCCTCGCCTGTACCAGGGGGCTACAGGCTGCCCCGCTCCTCCAGCTACAGCCCCCTGCAGGGGAGGGCAGGGGCAGAGCTGGACCTCGGTGCGGCTGCTGGAGGGGTTCTGGAGGGGGGTGGGACGGCGGCAGAGCGCAGGACGCCCTTAGTGGACCTGTTCTGTGAGACCTGCTCCAGGCCCTGGCTCATCGGCTGGTGGGACCAGGTAGGGCTCGGAGAGCTTGCAGAGGGCAAACGAGGCCTGGCAGTGGCCATCTTGGATAGATACTGTGGACTCTTAAAGTTTTACTGCTACATCTGTGCATGTATTAACAACTCATCTCTTTGCTCACTCCATGTTGTTATCTTTTAAAATCCAGCAGTGATCGTGTCTGTGAATGTTATGTGTCTATAAGGGAGAATCCTCCAGGATGTTACATGGGGACTAGTTCATTACATACTGACTATATGTGGTGACAGATGGTTCTGTGTGTCTGACAGTGGCTTTGTGAGAAACTGTAAGGCAGAATATTGGTGAGTGCGTTCCTGTACATAATTTATACATGAATGCACTGAAGGGGAACAGTGATAAAGGCACAGAGTTTATTAACTCTGCTCAGTGTTTCTATATTGCAGCAGCACTGTAAACAAAAAGACAATATCAAACTCATTCTTCAGCCTTCCATACCACGTTTACATTGCTGTCTTTTGAGAATACACTGGGCTCCTTAAAATCTAAGAAACAGCTTTGGGAAATAGTCCAGTTGTCTTTACTGCAGGTACATTGCAGTGTCACATAATGTCCGTTTCCTTCCTCCACACCTGCGTCCCACATCCCTCTGTCTCTCTCTCCTGTTACCCTGAGGCTGGCCTCAATACAGACTTAAGGAAGCCAGGCGTGTTGCCAGTGAAGGACAATGCTTATTGTCTCAGGACTGAGGAGATGTCTCTTTTTGTTCCAGTTTTTTTTAGGTGTGCCAACATTCTGCATCCATAAAAATGTAGGAGATGAGACACTGTGGAACTTTTCTTTGATTTGTCAGATTCGCATCCGATATGGTGTCCTGCCGCTGTGTTACCAAGACAAATTGTTGCTTTTGTCCTTACTGTTTTATTGAATGAGATTGGGCAAATTAGAATTATATTCTCTGCTTTCATCTGAATCATATTTTGCAAATAGTAGATCAGTAAAAGGTCACAGTTTGCACGTGTGCATTTGTATTTGCGTGGTACTCATGAACAGAGACAGGTAGAGAAGATACAGCCCTCATGAATCCCTCACATGTACAAGTGTATATGTGTGTGTGTGTGTGTGTGTGTCCATGGTCATGTGTATGCAGCGTGTGCATGTTTGCCACATTAGTCAGTGTCAGAGGAAGAGTGCTGTTTGTCCTGGCACTCGGACTGGCACTGTGGAAGTGTTGGTTGGCAGCTATGACTCAGCGTTACAGCATTAGGGAAGGAAAGAGCAAGAGAGAGAGCAGGAGGTTTGGGCTGAGCCTGCTGCCTAAGTGTGCCACTGGGCTTGACTAGCTTTCCTGGCTTCTGATGACTGATTCTGCCTGTCTGCCTCTACGACTTGCTGTCACAGGACCCATTTGGCCTATCGTATAACGAGCGCCAGGCTGGATAGGATGGGTGGAAAAAGAGAGATAACTGTGGGGAAAAGAGTGAGGGAAGGTGGGAGTGGGTGAAGCGTGTGAAATGGCAGGAAGGCAAAGCGGATCCTGTGACAGAGGAGGATTTTGGGGCTCGAGGGCAGCAGTGAAGAGTGTTGTTTACCTCGAGAGGGAGGGAGGAGCAGATATAAGCAACAGAGAGACGTAGAGAGGAAGACGGCAGAGGAGGGGAGGGTTGACCTTGGTAAAGGTCAGAGACACCTGCCTACTCCCTCAGACTGTCACCCAAGCAGCCACCGCTCGCACATCAAGCTGAAGGACTGACTGTGAGGAGGCAGTTGCCACGGCAACCGCTCTGGTTGCCATGGAGATTGTTATGTGTGAAAGATCAGTCAGTAGGACACAGACTGAGGGGTCTTGTCCGAATCGCATTGTACCGTCACATGACGAGTTGCGACAGCGAACTATCAAGCCTCCAAATACCAGCGTTTATCTATAGATGCAAAAACAAATCTGAAAGAACGTTGAGGAACAGTGTTTTCTGTCTGCAGGGATAATGTATTCACTTAATCGCATTTGTGTCTGTACTGCACGGACTTGCAGACTAGCTGTTCTTGATTGCCACGGTGGATGTATGGAGAACAATACATACGAACACGCCATATCACTGCAGCATATCAATGCATGGCAGTGAAAATGCAAGCACACTGAATTGGGGTGTTGAACAGTATGTTCTCATCTGAGAAAAAGAAGAGGCGTGATTCATAATTGATTTTCTCACCCTTTAGTGAATGAAGCCAAATTGAGGGTGATCATTTATTTTCTCATATTTGAATCATTGGGATGTTTTTCGGGTTTATGTATCGGCACAAATGGAGTCTAAAGTACAATGTTAACAATGCTGTCTCTACATTTTTGGATATGTCAGTAACCCTTTATGCTTTTACTTGGCAACTACTATTCAAGGTGCTCACTTTCTGTCTCTGTCTGCCCCCCCCCCTCCAGTTCAAGAGGATGTTGAACAGGGAGCTGTCCCATTTGTCAGAGATGAGTCGCTCAGGGAACCAGGTGTCAGAATACATCTCCACTACCTTTCTAGGTAAATCAAACCCGTCATCCGCTATAGCAAGTCCCTTATAGCTTTGACCCCAACCGCGACCCTCCATAAGTCTCCATCCTGGCTGACCTTCGACTGTTGATCCTTCCAGATAAGCAGAACGAGGTGGAGATCCCATCCCCGACCTTGAGGGAGAGGGAGAAGCCCATGTGTCACATCAGCGGTGTGAAGAAGCTCACGCACAGTTCCAGCCTTTCCAACTCCACCATGCCTCGCTTTGGCGTGAAGACTGAACACGAGGATGCGTTAGCCAGGGTAAATGGATGGAAAAGCAGCCTACCAGATGCAAGTTACTGCATGTACATGCACATAAAGCCCCACACTGTAGATAACAAAGACACACGAAAGATCCCAAAAGACAGGCTGTATGTATTTGCTGTCACTGTGATTATGCACATTATTTACAGACTTCTTCAACCAATACACCCCAATATTTTCCACAACCAAAAACATGACATGTGAACATCTCTTTGACACTGGTCCATCAGAATCAGAGCAATCAATTTTCTAGCTGCATCATGGAAAACGTTTTGCATAAGTGGAGAAACAGACAGGAACCACAACACACCACAATGTCAAGTAGCCATAAACCCTGTTGAAAGTTTCATGTTATCTAATCTAACCGAACACAAACTGCTTGGTCGTCGTGCTGATGTGCTTTCTCGCTGTCTCCTGTGCCTTCAGGAGCTGAACGACTTGAACAAGTGGGGCCTTAATATCTTTCGTGTGGCAGAATTCTCTAATAACCGACCCCTCAGCTGCATAATGTTTGCCATCTTCCAGGTGAGAGGGCTTTGTATGGATTATACAGTTGCCTATAACATGTATCTTGACCTATCTGTGACCCTCACCCCTGTGGACTTTTCCCTGCTGCAGGAAAGAGATCTACTGAAGACCTTTCGGATCCCTGTGGACACATTTGTCACCTATGTGATGACCCTGGAGGACCACTACCATGCCAACGTGGCCTACCACAACAGCCTCCACGCTGCAGATGTCACTCAGTCTACTCACGTACTGCTATCCACACCAGCTCTAGATGTAAATATCCAATGACAAAGACACAGCATCAACACAAATACCAAATGAACCGATAACTTCAGCTGCACAGACACACAGTCGTTACATTCGTCAACGTCCAACGCTAAACTGCAGTTCAACTGATTGTTTTCGTCTCTTCTCTTTCAGGCTGTGTTCACCGATCTAGAGATTCTAGCTGCGCTATTCGCCGCTGCCATCCACGATGTGGACCATCCGGGAGTGTCCAACCAATTCCTCATAAACACCAGTGAGTTGAAATGAGATTAAGAAACACACAAAACACATAAGGTCACAAAAACATCGACTGGGGAAAAACAGGTGAGCTCATGATGGCAAGGAGCGATGGCAAACAACACAACTGCTTTTGCTGAAAAAATCAAATGGATTTAGATTCCATACAACTCAAGTGTGTGATATGTGACCATGACTAGTGAGCATCAACATAATGAAACGTCTTGTTTTTTTTGCCAACTCTGTAAAAGTACTAAAAGTCCTATATTTTAGAAAGGGCGTGAGGCAGCTGAGATAAGATACAGTATGGAAGAATTAGATGTGGCCACTTTTCTGTAAAGTTAGCTGTGTTGACAATACCTGGCATTTCACGTCTTCCTACGCAGTAAAGGTTTTTATTTAATGTTTTTCAACTCATTTTCAATACGAGTCATATCAGTTCTCATGTACTATATTATTTTTGATGGATTCGTTTTGGTGTTTACTGATTTTATATTGAAAATAACAGATTTGTTGTGAAATAGTGAAGAATTTAAAAGTTAAATTGAAACTCTACTCTTGGTTTGTCTTTGGCGCTGCTGTCATCCTCATTTTGACTGACGAAGCAGCAGATTCTTGTTTTGTTTTTGTTTTTTTCGTAAATGAATGTGTTTAATCTGTGAATTTTGTCTTTTCAGTGGTTCTAAATGGAGATACACGCCACTAAAGTTAAATTTGCACACTGCACATCTGCACATTTTTCTGTCTGGTGATAATGCAATGGTGGGAGCTCGACGATACTGATGAAGTGATGTAATTGCCGCATGTGTCTTGGACTCTTGTAGACTCCGAGTTAGCCCTGATGTATAATGATGAGTCTGTGCTGGAGAACCATCACCTAGCTGTGGGCTTCAAGCTGCTTCACGAGGACAACTGTGACATCTTCCAGAACCTCAGCAAGAGGCAGAGACAGAGCCTGAGGAAACTTGTCATTGATATGGTGAGTGTCGTCAACACACTGTATCACGAAGATAACAACCTTCCTCGCTTCTCATCGTCAGGCTCCTTTAGCTCTTCCTCATCTCCTATCACCTTGCTATTTTTTTCTCTAATGCACTCATATCAACCCCCCCCCCCCTCCTTTCCCCTAGGTTTTGGCAACAGATATGTCAAAACACATGAGTTTGCTGGCAGATCTCAAGACTATGGTGGAAACCAAGAAAGTGACAAGTTCTGGTGTACTGCTGCTTGACCACTACACTGATCGGATACAGGTGAGATGCCATCTTCAAATTATTTCGTAACAACTTCAGTCATTATTTTTGGCAGCCAGCAGAGAGAGCTAGTTCTGAGCGCTGTTTCAGAGTGCTATAAAACCAAAAAGCTTGCGATATAAACACTGGTTGTAGAGTTGGAGCAAAGAGATATGTGATCAGAAATTATTTATGCCTCTCTGTCAAAGCGTGGCACCTCTGCACGATGCGGCTTGTATATGGGAGATATGGCCTTGTTATAAATTGTATGCCCCTCCTCAAAATGTCACGGCTTGTAGTGGCTACGCTGACTCCGTGTTTGTATTTTCTCCAATCTCCTTCCAGAGCTTTGAGTTTGTCATTGTGAGTTTTATTTGTTCGGAACAACGTATTGCTGGTATCTTGGCCAGGGCTCCCTCAAAAAAGAGATCTTGTAATCTCAATGGGACTCACCTGGTTAAATAAAGGTTCAAATAAACATCTGGTGACAACATGAATTGGGTTAAAAAAACTAAAAAAAAACTAGGTTAAACAGTCTTTTCTATTTAAGTATGTTTCAGTAGCTTGGAGATTACAAGAGGTTGAGCAATGCAGAGATACATGCTGCGTCTGATTGAACTCTTTGTACCAAATCTATTGGATCTAGTTTACAGGCTGAACAGTATCTGATACATGGGTTAGTTGTTAGTTTGAGGGATTGCGAGGTGATCCACTGAAATTCAGAAATGTTTTTCGACCTGATATGACCTGTGTGTCGAACTGGGAAAGTCAGAGGTTACGGTTACATTTCATCCATCAAAGCAGCTTTCACAGACAGATCCATGGAAAGGAAGGGAAAGAAACACGCGGTTCGGTTTCAGTATGGCAGTCAGTCAATTGAATAAACAAACTTTGAACAGTTTATGTACAGATTTCGGGAGTTTTGGAACATTAGGGAGGTAAGAGCTGTTCTTGAGCTTTGGGATTGACGTGACCTGAAGGCACACAGACAGGATTAATAGCACATAGTGGTTGCTATGCCAAAAGGTCAAAGTTTAAGCATCTTGTTGTGGCCAGAAGAGAGAAAGAAGTTAAGCCAGACTCAGAACAGTAATGAGTGGTGGAAACTTTCTTGTTTACAATGTTGCACATGCAGTTGTGAGTGAAATGTGACTGTGTTTTTGCAGGTGTTGAGGAACATGGTGCACTGTGCTGACCTGAGCAATCCTACGAAACCCCTGGCGGTGTATCGCCAATGGACGGAGAGAATCATGGAGGAGTTCTTCAGGCAGGGAGATAAGGAGAGGGAGCGAGGGATGGAGATCAGTCCCATGTGCGATAAACACACCGCCTCTGTGGAAAAGAGCCAGGTAAATGATCCGCACTGAAACATACACATGCATGGATGCCATCCTGTTCACAACTGGAGAACTGTTAATGCTGTGGGTGGGGTGATGACTACAGTGCAGAGAGTGAGCTGTCATCTCTGATCACAGCAGTCATTCTCGTGCATGTTTAATGATCATTTGCAGGAAGTGAAATGACACCACTGTGCTAGTTTATATGATGTTAATCATACTCTTCCTCTCTCGACGCAGGTGGGCTTCATTGACTACATTGTCCACCCGCTGTGGGAGACATGGGGGGACCTGGTGCACCCTGACGCCCAGGACATCTTGGACACTCTGGAGGACAACAGGGACTGGTACCAGAGCACTATCCCTCAAAGCCCCTCGCCGCCGCCTGTGGGCCAGGACAAGGATCTTAAAGCCTGCATGGACAAGTTTCAGTTTGAGCTCACCCTCGAAGACAGCTCTCAGAGAGATCAGGGAGACGAGGATGACAAGCCCACGCCAAACCACGTGACACAGGACTGCAGTCAGGGGGAGGAGGAGGAGGAGGAGGAGGAGGAGGAGGAGGGTAAAAAGGAAGAAGAGGAAGACATAATGGCAGAGGAGGAAAATGAGGACATAATAGAGGAGGAAGATGAGGTGGCGATGGAGGAAGAGGTGGAAGAGGAGCAGGAGGAGGAGCTGAAAGCTCAGCTGGAGGTGAGATCTGAAAAGGAGAGACTTTCTGACACAAGTCCTGTAGAGGAAGAGGAGGATTCTTCTTCACAAGCTGAAGATACATGAGTTCTGCTCCTGTATCTCCCTCCTCACTTGCACACATTATCTTGTTCATCCTTTCAATGGCCAAACCAAGAACAAATAAGACTGCAATGACAATACAGACCTTTAAATATATTTTTCAAAAAGGGAATAAATTAAAATCGCTTAAAGAGAAGTTAATTACACAGCAACTGTAGATTTGGAGTGGTGATGAGTCCTCTGACTGATTTCACAATGAACTTTAGGCGGAGAGGAATTTAGAAGAGCATTAACGATGGGCAACTGAAGACAGCGTAGCACTCTGGGACTGGGATGCACACACATAAACACACATGAAGTGACACACAAACACATAAGAGACCAGAGTAGGAGTAAGTCATGTAGAACACACAGATGCAATGTGTGTATGTGCATGCATCAGTCATGCAGTATAATTGTCCATCTGTATCCTCTCCTTACACACACACACACACACACACACACACACACACACACACACACACACACACACACACACACACACACACACACACACACACACACACACTTGACTGTATGTTTGTATGTGTGCATTTACTTGAGGGACATTGATCAGTGATGAATCTCTTTGGAAAAAGCCATCTCTTAATGGAGTATTAACTAGTGTTCAGTCAGTATTAGTAATTCATGTTTGTTAGAATCTCAACAGAAACTGTTCTCCTCAGAAAAGCTACAGTCCGAGTGACTTTTTTTTTTTTCCATTTCTGTCGGAAAGAAAAATAAGAAAATCCACAGAGTTGGAGGAGGAGAGAGGAAGAAATAATGGGAGGAAAGGAAGATGCTGCGATGAAGGGGCCGCCGGGTCCCATACCCCTTTTCCCTTTACGAGGAGAGTGCTACTGGTGCAAGATGGCTCTGTGCCTTTCTGAAACACCAGCTTCCTGAACGGAGCTGTCGTGAAGCAATGCATTGTGGGACAGGAGTGTCTGATTTTGTTATCATTTTTGATTGTCTCTTGTTAAAGATCTCTCTTTACTGTTCATGGTATTGTGGTGTGTATCTCACACGTACAGTTTCTGTGGTGATATGTTTTGAGCTGTAAGTCTTCCTTTGTTGCTCTTCTGGTAATATAATAACTCAGAACTCTAGATGCAGAGCAATCACTACCACCACCACAACCACCAGTGGACTCTTTCCAGCTTATGGTTTTTTCTTATTAGAATGATTTTTTTAAACTTTCTGAGAATAAGCCATGTGATGCTTTGATGCATAAGTTTTGCCTATTTTCTATTTGACAGTTGCTAAATATGTTGAGGGGGATACAGAATTATTTCATCAGCAGAACAAAGTTTTCACTCGCCATCTCACGCCCACTTGCACTGTGTGTTTTATGTCTCCTCATACTCAACAATTCTCACCAAAGTAAAGGACGAGAAACTTCAGTGGGTGAAGTGATTTGAAGGAACACAGATAAGAATAAGAAAATCAGGGAGGCAGAATGTCAGGGGAAAGAAGCGTGACTTGGCCAAAAGGAGGTCTGGCAGTCCCTAATCATCCTTGTTATGTTTGATGCTTTTTTGCCTTAATGTCAGATGCAGGATACATACCTGCCAGTATGTAGATTTATAAGATATATAATAGATATCCTCGTATATTTATATCACGTCTGTATGCTTATTTCTGTGAGTATCAGTGTGTCTATACACAATGTATCCAGCATTGCATTTGGAGGGGAAAGGGAAACATTGCTGCCAATTAGTCGTTATGTTGTTTCTGTGTTTGGACCAACATAAAGAATGTGTTGTTTTTTTTTAATCAGGATGGTAAAATGACTATCTTATAGCTACCTGTAGGCAGAAAATTAGCAATCGCGGTTAAGACTTTGCAGGCGATGAGAGTGATTAAGGATGTCTTTTGTTTGAATCTGACCCGTTATTGATTTGCTGACATGATGGAGTTGACGTGTGTGTTTGTGTGTGTTTGTGTGTGTGTGTGTTTGTTTGCGTGGCTGACTGTGTGGTCATGAGTAAGCGAGTGAGTAACAGAAAGGAGAGGATGCGGGATGCTAAAGATGTTGTCATGTGTGTCATTGTTCGCTCACTGGCATCACCACATCTTGTTGAATGGTGTTCTGGGATCCGATCAGCACAGATTAAATTGGTCACAGTTTGTTTAGGTGTTTGTTTCTCACAGGGTAAAAAAAAAAGAAAAAAAAAAAAGAAAGAAGGGATATAAAAGAACATGAGTGTGGTTCTTTTGAAGGTAAGCGCAAGTTTCTGCAGGTCAGTAACTGAGTTTATCTGAAGACACCGCAGCTCGGTGCAACAGAAGCCTGTGTGTTTGACCTGCTCTGTCGCAGGACGGAGCAGAGCTGCGGGGCCACCACACAGGCTTTCATCTGGTGGAATGGGAATCCAGGATTATTATTACAGTTACCTAAATAAAAGATTCCCATATGCATCGGCCTTTTACTTTAAAGATGTTGCTTTGTTTTTGTGGCTTCTCGTTCTGTCATAAGCTATAAAAACATTAATATTTAATTGCCATACAAACACGATACTGTAGCAATTGTTTCTTATTAAGAAAATTATTCAATTGATTGATTGCTGCCATTCTTTTTAAATGATGAAAAGAAAACCATGGGAAGTGTTTTCTTTGAACAGTTTGTGTACAGTTTATTTTTATATCATTCTGGTGGATGGTCTGGAAAATGAATCATGTGTTGATGATATAGCTATAAGCATTACCACTCATGTATATAATGTTAATATTGGATTGTAAATTATAAATTTATCCAAGTCATAATGAAATAACCACTTGAGGTTGTTAAGTGAACCACTGGAGCACTGCAGGCCACATCCTCACCTTCTCATCTTCTGATTATATTTTTCGCTCAATTGTGCTAACGTTCTTTCACATTTTTTTAATTGTGCACATTTATTGTTAAAATCAAAATATATTTGTACCAGCACTTTATTTCGTCAGGTTTTGAGGCAGACAGTGTGTTTCAGGTAGTGTACAGTCTGTGCTGGTGGTTTGGTCATTGGCAGTCACTTGTTGATTATATCCCACTGGGCCAAATCACAAACTCTCATTGTGCAGTAGTCAATGTTAACCCCTTTTTAGAGGCATAATCAAACAAACTAGTCATTCTCTATTAAATGTCCATGTGAGATTGAATTTATTTGACTGGTAAAGTCAAATGTAGGCTGATATAGTCACATAGGATGTGACACGTTCAAAGAAAATAAATGTGTCCTTATCTAACTTGGCCATTTCTAGTACTATCACCACCTCTGTTTCTTAGTAACTTTAATCACTAGCCTGATAGCCTCAATGTCCGTCCCATGGTGGCCTAACTAGCTGGTTCCCATCGGGGTTGCTGTCAGGTTACTTTGTTGCTGACTGACTCCCTCTGAGAATAATTCTCTGGGCTGTAATTCATGTGTTTGTTCACAAATAAGAAAGATTATTCAAGGGAAAAAAAACAACATGAAATGATTGTAATATTTGTAAATGATCTTGCTGTAATGTGTAAAATGTGTCCAAGTTATTTTTTATTATATTATTTTTATGAAAGTTTTTCCTCTTGACAGAGCTGAGGTGTCATTTTGTGAATAAATGCATTTAATAAGCAAACATCTATATATAAAACAATATTATAGTATATCAGTATATTTTTCTTTTATTTCACTGTTCAGTACTGTAAAGTGTGTTAAAAATACAAATAAAGTAAGATTTTTATATTAAATGCTACACCATTGTCATGTTTGCTGTTATTGCATTTTCTTTGTCAGCCTTGTTTGCATGAATACTATTCATTGATTAGTCCAGGAGCTGTACGTGTAATTGTATTCCTAATTGTAGCAAGACTGCCAGGACTGTATTATGAACTGGATATTGCAGGCGACGGCCCTTGGTCCTTAGGGGCTTTGTAAATCCCAGTTGGCTTCTAGCCTTAATGCTCTGCTGTGTACAGGGACCTCTATTTGTTCATACTGTTTGCTCCAATGTAGGTTTGTATCCACATGCACACACCCTGTATGCTGTCCAGTCTATGTCTATGTGAGATTGATAAAAACATGTATGAGTTCATGAATGATGACATATGTTAGAACATGTATGGGTGAACACATTTAGACTATTTTTGAGTTAAATGTATAGGCCCCTACATGAAGAAACAGAAGACAGAGACAGAAATGCACTTCATGTATGAAGTTTACTGACTTTTAAAGTTTTGCACAGAGTTTGAAGGATAATGACAGTTTTAAAATAACATACATTTACTTGGACGCTATTTACTTGTCTATTCTCCACTGATATCAGATTTGTGTGTAGACGGTGACTTGTTTGACTCTGACATGAGATGGCTGCATCCTTACCTACACCCAGAATCCTCTTCTTCAGACAGGTGCCACTACCCTCCGCCAATCACCAACGCTAAACCAGCCGCTATCCAATCAGGATGAAACAAAACACAAAGGGGTGGGGTTGTACGCATGCGCTCTCATACTACGGAACTAGGTTGTGTGTAACGACCGGCGATGACTAGCTATTAGCTTGTTTTCTCAAGAAGAAAAACTTACACAGTGTTCTTCGTCTCCGACTGCCTTGTTAACCCTGTACGCTCGAGGTATTGTAATGTTACTATAACAACATACGTGTAGTTGTTATTTTTGCTTGGGTGTTTGTTTGCGATTTGCTTGTAGCTAAAGTTTTTCTTAAAGCTAGCATTCATTTGTTAGCTCGGTGCTAGCTAACAAGAAGTCGTCGCATTCAGTCGAGCGACATAACAACACATGTAGATGTTTGATGTTGTATTGCCACTAATATACTTTTATGAGCCGTTATGAGCTGTTACGGCTTGTCCACGGTGGTCACAGAGTCTTTCCTGTATTCATCTGAAAAATGTATGTGATTGACAGGCAGTCCCGGTGCAGCTGAATCTCGCTTAAACTGTGACCCAGTGTGGAGGCGCACCATTAGGATGTTCTATCAATACCACCACCTCCTCTCCCTCTTTCCCCTCCTCCTGCTGCTGGGTGTGGGAGTCTCTGCGGTGGAAGTGCAACGACCTCGCGGTGTACCTTTATCAAGTAAACATTTAAAATCCATGAGTGCACTTACAGTTGTATGCAAATATTTGGGCACTGCTGGGCAATGAGCATTACGTTGGGTTTGTGTGGCATGACAGTGGCACAGGAAACATTGCACGGATAGAGGGAAGTATGGACTCCAGTAAATATCAGCAAATTCTGAATGCAAATATCCTACAGTCAGTTAAAGAAAAGATACTGGCTTCTACAACAGGATAATAATAATCCCAAGCAAACCTCAAAATCCACCATGAACTACTTCAAGAAACACTAGCTGAAGCTCTTGTCTTGCCCGACTTAATTGGATGCCCAGACTTTTGCATGTCACAATTACTGTTTCATTTTTATGTGCCTTATGATTGTAGGTTGTCCATTGGTCCCAATCTCATGAATCTGATACCCCTAGAACGCTATGAAGGAATTTCTTCAAATTTGGCTAGTTTTTAAGTTAAAAGAAAAGTGCATTAACATTTGAGGAAAGGCTTATTTTTGAGCCCTGCTGCACAGGTTGTATTTATTTCTTCTTAAATCAAAAATCAACAGACAGTGCAGAGTGCCCAGGGGTGCCAAACTTTATTATACAACAGTAAATCTGTTGATTGAAAGTTCATTATCAGCTCTCTGATTTCAGCTGTCATGACTCTCACTTGCTTCCTCTGTTTAACCTCCTTGACAGAACGGCAGTTCTATGAAGAGGGCAAACCATTTACTTGTCTGGATAACTCCGGCACTATTCCCTTTGACAGAGTGAATGATGACTACTGTGATTGCCAGGATGGCTCTGATGAGCCAGGTGCGTATATCCTGCATGCTGGAAACTGAATTAAAGAAAATAACAACTGATGAAAGTATAGGAGGTCTACTTAGTATAATTCTCACAGCCGATTTCTTTATTTAAAAACACATTTATTTGCAGGCACTGCTGCTTGTCCCAACGGCAGCTTCCACTGCACCAATGCAGGTTTCCGACCAGCCTTCATCCCCTCCTCCCGCATTAATGACGGAATCTGTGGTATGAATTTTAAACTTTACATTTCTTTTCGGGTGTGCTGTGGTCAGGAGTTTGTGTAACGATTGTGTTTCCTCTACAGACTGCTGTGACACAACAGACGAGTACAACAGTGGTGCCGCCTGTCAGAACACCTGCAGGTGGGACTGTTTTTTGATTTTAACTGTAATAACTTGTATCTGCTTAACAGAGCCTATACATATATTACACATTAAGTTTCCAGAAAATGTGGAGTGGTCTGTTTTTGTTCAGTAATTTTTTACATCATGTGTGATTTGCAGGGAAATGGGGCGTAAAGAGAGGGAGAGCCTGCAGAAAATGGCAGAGATCGCAAAGGAGGGCTTTCTGATTAAACAGCAACTCATACAGGAGGCCAAGAGGGGCCTAGAGGATAAAAAGGTGTGAATGACAAGAAAACATTTTGGTATTCGTTTGTATAATAATCAAGATCCAGAGCTCTGAAACATGGATCATAGCAGTGTCAAAAATATTTTTATGCAGAAAAACTGAAGACATTTGAAGGTGTCTGGCTATGTTGTTTAGCTTACTATGCACAAAAAAACTGAGGGCAGTTGTGGGCGGGACCTTATTTTGAGCATTTCCTACTAACTCACTGAGAGAGGCTTGGTTCTCAATCAGAAACTAGATGCATCTGAATTCTCCTGTTAATAAAACCAACAAACAATAAGTTCATTTTAGCTTAACAAAAGATGCAAGGTCTTCCAAGTTCACAGTGAAGTTATTAATGGCACATTGCTGTTATTCTTTCCTCTTGCATTTGTTAATTGTGTTATACTACCTTTCTATTAGAGCTGTGTTGTTGTATTTGCTTGTTTTCTATAGAGTAGATGTTAAGGCATCGTTTCATAAACTGGAAGTAGTTTTCAGATATTGTGTAGATCTTATTGGGTTAAATTTATCATTTTGATTTGTCTCAACAGGCCAAACTTGTAGATGTTCAGGTCGGTAAGAAGGATCTGGAAGACAAGGTGGAGGCACTGAGAACTGTAAAGGAGACTGCAGAGCAGCCAGAGAAAGAAGCTAAAGAGCGCCATCTGCAGGCCTGGGAAGGTAAATTAACGTGGAAGTCCATCACCATCTGCTGTTTGTACAGAACATCACAGTACAGATAGTAATGTCTATTTTCGGAACATTTTTTGAGTTAGTCTTAGTTGCTTGGACGCCGCACACACTAGTAGTACTCGAAAAACTTCTCTGATGAAATGATCGAATTCTTTCAAAACATTTAGTCACATTGTATAGAAGTACACATGTGATCAGAATCACTGATAACGCAGCACAAGGTAAAATTTTATTTTTGTTTCAGATCAAAAAGCTCTCGTTCGTATGGAGAAGGACAAGACCAGAATGGCTGAGGTTTTTCTTGAGCTTGATGATGATGCAGATGGCTTGTGAGTATCAGCACCCTCCAGAATTATTAGCACCCACACTGAGGGAAGATTTACAGTGTTGTGAAGCTTACCAGCGACAACTTCAAGAGCAAACTCTAACATAGTGGATGATGTACTTTTGTGTATCTCAGCGTCTCAGCGGCTGAGCTTCTGTCCCATTCTGAGCTCGATCCAGATTCAGATGGTTCATTCACCGAAGCAGAGGCTCAGGTAAATGTGTTCTTTTTGTGTTGTTCCTATCAAAACACTGCTGATGTAGTGGAGTCAATAAATGCAAATATTTTGAAAATCGTTAAACATCTTAAGAAGCTGAAAATATCTAAATGTGAGTATTTTCTTCGCTTTGTTAAGGGATCGTTGGGAGGAGTGGACAAAGTGGACACAGTAGCATTTGAGGCTGTTTGGAATAACATCAAAGAAAAATACATATCAGAGGTAGAAACCTGTTTATTCATTTAGACGACTCCATGTGTAAAAGCCTCTGCTCCTCTAATGTGTGACTTTGTTGGCATCAGGCCACCGCAGACACCCCAGCACCAGTGGAGACTCCACAGGAGGAGCCAATCTCCGACAATGACTCTGAGCAGTACCCTGAAGATGACATCCCAGAGGATGAAGAGGAGGAGGACGAAGAGGATGAAGATGAAGAACCAGATGATGGAGATTATAAGGTAAGCCCACTGACTCTCCCCATCAAATTTACACTGGATGACTCTGAAGTTTATTTTAGTGAGCCATTCTTATCTGTGTTTGATATGCAGACCCCTCCTCCGACGCCGACTCAGGAAAAGAAAGATGACGATGAGGGGACTATGCCGCCCTATGACCAAGAAACGCAGAGCCTCATTGATGGTGAGTGTGTGTATAAAACTGAATGACTCATCCAGTCGTCAGCTATGAGTAAGTGAGTCATGCTTTAAAATACCAGGGAAAACACAGATGTGACTTCCTGCCTATTAGTTTGAATTTTGATATGCTATCTTAAAATGTATCGTTCACTCTGGTAGGATAAATAAATGTTTAAAGCAGAACAAAGTGTTCAATTGAACAGCTGTGTTGCTGTTATATGACACAGGTCTATTGCTTGTTTGTTTTTTGTTTTTTTTATAAAAGCATCAACAATAGGTCAGTCGTGATTTTCTCCAGCTTTTTTAATGTGTGTATGTAAGCACATGTATAATACGTGTATGGGTTTGGACTGAATTTACTGTGAGAGTAGATTTTAATTCTGGGCATCTGATTCCCAGCTGCACAGAAAGCCAGGGATGAGTTTGACAAGGCTGAGAGAGCTCTCCGGGAAGTGGATGATCAGATCAGGTAAGTAGCCAGCCTGAATGTGGGCATGCTTCTTTGCCAACAATGCACTCATAAGTGTTTGATACCATAACTGCAGTCTAACTTTATACAGCAACAATGGATGATTCTGTTGCAGTGTAACAGTGGTGGTGCATCAGTGTGTTATCAGTTCAAGACTGAAATACAAAAAAGATTACATGTTGCATTGTTACTTTGTTTGCTTTCGGTTTGCAGGAACCTTGAGAAGGAAATTTCCTTTGACTTTGGACCCGATGCTGAGTTTGCTCATCTCTACAGCCAATGTTATGAGTTAACTACTAGCGAGTATGTGCATACTTGTCAATTATTTGTTAATTATTATTTGGTATAAGTTCCTATTTCTGAAAGTCTAAGTCACCCTTTGCTCTCAGGTACATCTACAGGCTGTGTCCGTTCAACAGAGTATCCCAGAAACCCAAGTACGGTGGATCTGAAACCAATCTAGGGTAAGAGAATATCTGTGTTTCTGTCTGTCTGCACTGTGTATGAAGCACGCTTGACTTGTCCTGTACTTTTTCACTTTTTTCTGTAGAACATGGGGAAAATGGGCAGGTCCTGAGGATAACATCTATTCGGTGATGAAGTATGAACATGGAACAGGATGCTGGCAAGGCCCGAACAGGTCCACCATGGTGAGTCTCAATTAGTCAGCCCTGACTTGATGTTTTCTTCCCTTGATTTTTACTCCCAATCATTGTTTCTCATTGGATAAAGCACTAGAAAACACATAATTGTTGTCCCTCAGGTTAAGTTAACATGTGGAAAGGAGACGGTTGTGACATCTACCTCAGAGCCCAGTCGCTGCGAGTACCTGATGGAGTTCACCAGCCCTGCTGTCTGCCAGGAGCCCCCCAGCCTGGATTCTTTGCTTCATGAGCACGAAGAGCTCTAGGTCCGCTTGATTTGTGAGTATCTTTTCTGTGTGTGGCCAAACCTCTATGATGATCTATCTCTACAGCCAGTGTTATGATACCTTTTTATGATTATCTGGGACATAATCTCACTTTATTGTGTGGTGCACATGAATTTCTACAGGACCTTAGTATCAATCCCCTTTAGGATCTCATATGGGTTCTGTCTCCAAAATTAATTAGAGGAGCCACGTTTTTTTTACCGTAAATAAACTTCACTCACAATCATCTGATCTTCATTTCTACATGGTGCTTACTGAAGTAGAAACAAAAATCAGTGACAGCCAGGGCTGCATAATGTGAAGGTTTAGTGTTTCCGATTTTTTTTTTTGCGAAGAAAATCCCTTGTGCGGTTACAGCTTCACTTTAGAAGAAGAGCAGGACAGCAGCAAGAGTAAGGTAAAGGCAACTTCATTTGAGTTCATTGTAGTTGTTAAGAGGATTAAGAGTTAATGGACGCTAAGAATTTAACAGTGCACATATGGGTGAGTCAAATCTTAACAGGTATATTGTGGCACATGTTCTTTGGATACATTATCAGTAAACTGGCGACAATATTGTGATGTCCTCTTTTGCCTTACTGGTGCGGTTTTGCATCCATCCTTTTATGTGTTCAACATTTTGCTCTGGTTACAGATAATGTGATAGCTTGCAATGTATTCCGTATCACAAAAATTGCTCATCTTGTGATATCACTGTTACCTTGGCTATAAGCAGTGTATAGTGATATCATATTTTGAGCTTTCCTGTGAGGCCCAGTGCTGATGCTGTACAGAATGAATAGATATCAGGTGTAGCTTCCCTTGAAATAAACAAAGGTTATAAAAGGCTACTGTAATTTCTGATACATTTTCAGATGGATTTGATGTTTTAAACTATGATTCAGCTGTTTCTCCTCTGCTGTAAATGTGTTATGGTGATATTGTAGACAGGATATTGAACTAAGATGATGTTTATGATGATGATAGTGTGGATTACTTTAGGTCTGCTCAAGCAAGTGTGGAGGTGAGAGGATCTGGGACAACAGAATTAGAATTTTTTGAATGTGTCATCGTGAACTTAGATCAATAAATACAGCATCTAATCCAAATGTAACTGCTGACCCCAAAATAACAAACAAGAAATGTGGATCCATCACCGGTGTAAGTGCTTATTCTTCGGAAACGAAACCTACAGGGATTAATTGCAACTAAATACTTTTTCCCCTCTAACAACTGGGAAGTCATGACTTAAGTAAACAAGCCATTGAAATGACCATGTGTGGTTTCTCTTTTGCAGGTTGTTCCTGAGGGACCACACAGTCACTGCAGCAACCCGACGTTGCCATGCTGTGAGCAGCACCACCTTGTTGTCGGATAACAATCGAGAATAAATGATGGAAATTCCAACGAGTTATGTCGTCTACACTTTAAACTTCCACTGCTACCTGTTGTGTTGACTCTCTGATTAATCTCAAATGTAGTGTCATTCCATTGTTTTGAAATAAAGTTCTTTTTATCATATTCCAAACTATTTTGTCCATTTTTAACTCTGCCATTACAGCCTATGCCATTTTGTTATTAAATTATATTCTCAATTAAAACTGGTGGCTTCCAAATACAGTACATTCAGTTTTAATTAATTGTAGAAGTAATTAGATACACATCTAAAACATAAATAGCAGGAAATAATAAGACGTGTTTTTAAAAAAAAAAAAAAACCCTGCACATGCAGTAACATATTCGTCTTTTCTTCCTTTCATACTCTCAAACCATTGAGCACATTCCTTTGTCTGCATTAGTTCAGTAGATATAAAATATGTGCCTACTTATCAAACTGGAGAACTTCAGGAAATGTGTGCGTATCAAAAGAAATTTTAATCTTTATGTTTTTGTTTTGTTTTGTTTTTAAACATGGCAAGTCAAATACCAACATACCAGTTAACATTAGTTAACTTTAGTTAACATGAAAACATGATTAAAATGACATTTCTTTTTATATGTTCAGTCAGAATGTTCAGTAATAATGTTTTGACAGTCAATAAAGATCAAGTCGCTCATATTTGTAACTTTTATTTTTTTCTGGCATGTAAAGTACAAATAATTAAACAATTCCATGAAAAAGTCTTCAAGCGTCTTCAGCTGAAATCCCAGTAATAAATATCCTAGACTAAACTGAAAGGTTTTTTTTTTCTTTGTTTAATTTTGACATTGTTCATTTGGTCATGTTTGGAAGTATGAGATTTTGTATTTCTTCCACTGATATTGGTGTCAGCAGAACTGTTTTGATCATTTTCACCTTTGATTTGTTCTACCATTCCAGGAAAATGTAAGAAAAACATCACTAAGTTACTGCGTCCCCTCTTCTAAATAAATAGACACAAAATACAGTTGGTTGAGAAACAGAAGGACCACTCACCCCTTTACTACCCTAGAGACTCCCAAGAAAACCTTCCTGCAGCTTGTCTGAGCTCTAATATTTTGCCAGAACTCTTGGCTGGGTTTCCAAAGAACATTGTTTCAGTAGCACAAATTGATATTGATATTGGTATTGATACAGATGATCTCAGTATTACAATGCTTTTACAGAAACAGAACCCTTAATATCCTTTTTTTATATATATATATATAAATCAACCCATTAGCATAAACAGGAAAGCATCTTGAGAGCATATCAAACCCAGGACGTCTCTGTTACTGGCTAAATGTTGGACCCTCAAGTGGACCAAAGCCTCACTACAGGAGCTGTCCCATGTCTCAGGGGTTCACAGAGTGGTTGAAAAACAAGACTGTGATTAGATTAAATAATTAAAAGATTTTCATTTAACAAGACAAACAGAACACAGGCAGTAAAGGCATAACATCTAGCACACAGCATGTATGTTTATACACTTCAATTAGTTAAATATAGCAGTGCATTCTTTGACTATGGAGAACGTTTCCAAATCGTACTTCTAAAAACTGTTTTTCTATTTGTCCCCCTTTTAAGAAACGAAATGGTGTAACCACAATTTTGGCAAACTTAAAATCTTTTAAACTTGCAAATATAATGAAATAAACCATAAATATACACAAAACATACTTTATACGAGGCAATAATAATAATCATAATAAATAGTTTTTAAGTTAACAATAAGTTAAAACTACAAGCTTAAAGTCGCCCAAATAATACAAGTTTGTTGGCGCTATTTTGAATTTTTTCTGTTTAAATTATTTTATGTTGCAACAAAAGCTACCACAGACTTTTACAAACACAATTGAACACAGTTTGATTGAAATAAAAAAATCTAACTAAGTCTAAAATCTGCATACACTGTAAAAACTGCAACTAATTAAATAATGGAAGAAAAATAACAAACTGTACCCAATCAATGCAACCAAACATAATCTTTGACCCATGTGTGTTCTCTATGGCAACATCAACAACACAAATACGCTAATTTAACAAGTGAGTCTTGATATGTAAATGAAATCAATAAATTACAGGAAAAAAATGATATTTGAAATTGACATGGGCTAAAACTGATGATATATTAGACAGTATTCCTTTCAAGGTCATTGAGAATTGCTCTATTAAGTCAGCCAGATATGCAGTTTGTTTGAGCTTGCATGGTCAGAGCACAAATTAGGGGCTGAGGAAGTGATAATGGAAATTTCTAGATCAGAGCTCTCATTTTTTTTATTAATGAGTCTGTTCATTTTTTATGTTTTTGTCTGAACTTTTGCTCCTTTCACTATTCCGCAAACCTTTTCAGTGTGACGTTTAATTTCTTTTTTAAAAAATATATATCATTTGTTCTCAGTCAATATAAAAACAAAGCACATTGCACTTACTGTTCCATAGGAAAGTTTTTTTGTCTTTTTAAATGATTATTGTTGTTGCTCAAGCAGTGTAGTACTGTTTCCTGCCATGGTCCTTCGCTCTACATTAGGTGTAGGTCTTTGTATAGACTGTGTATGAAAGGTTGTTGTTTTGGGCTGTGGGTGTTTGGTTTGTGGGTTGACTGTACTACATCGGACATGGCTGGGTAAACGACTCCAGCTGCAGTTCAACATGGCCTGTTATCTTGGTTGTTCCTAACGTCTATCACTGGTCTCATCAAGTGCTCAGTCCTATACTCTGCTATCTCTTGCAAATTGCTCGACCCAAAATAGCTAGATTAGTCCTTTATGTGGTCAGCTCTGGGCATACCAGCGACAATCATTCAGAGTATTTCAGGGGATGAAACAGTATGAGTCTGATTAAAAGATGCCAGAGTAAGTATTTGAAGCGGTGCAATGTTAATGGTTTTGAAGGTTTGAATTGGTCACAAGACGAAGCAGATGATATAAATGCCGAGGGAAATACATTATATGGATGCAAACGATTTTTCCTTTGTCAAGAGGTGAATTCATTCATCATAATTTATTTTTGATATGCCTTTTTTCATCATTCGGTGTCTGCATGGAATGTGTGCAAATGGGAATGCTTGCAACTGTTTCATGTTAGCATTTGGTTTAGTGGTTTTAGGATTTACAAATGCAAACTGATATGCGCAACTTAGATATTTAAAAGTAATGACAACTGAAATTGTAGAGGGTCCTTATTCAATAAATAACATAGATTTGTACAGCAATTACTCAGGGAATAATATAGTTAGTCTTAATTATCCTTCTTGGTACTGACTTGCAAAGCAATTCTTTGGCAAAAATCAAATCCATATAATCATAAAGAATCATGCTCAATGTCCATTATTAATTGGTGAAACTGTTTGAGTCTGCGTTTTACATTTTTATTTGCAAGCAGCTATTCAGTTTTTCAGCTTGGCAATGAGCTGGTCTCACTGCGGCTTTGTCTGGGATTCTCAAGTCAAAGAACTTAACTTCACTTCACTGCACCATCATTGAAGCAACACTGTACACAACTTCAGGACAAGAGATGTGAGTGTGTCTAAGCACTCAAAGGTATAGATGTGTCTGTGAGGTAACACCCCCAACTGTTTGATTTTACCTTTTTTTTTTAATTTTTTTTTTACATCAAATTTGTTTTTGTTAAGTTCGTCGTTTTGATGTGGTTGAATGGTTAGGTTTGTGTGAGATACAATGTTCCTTCGCCCCCTCCCTAAATCCCCACCCATACACCGCATGCTTGTTCCCCCTTGCTCTGCAAAGATCAGAGGGTTTAAAATAAAGCCATGCGATGTCCCAATTTTTCCAAGCTTAAGAATCTGTAAAAATTCAGCACAAGGTCTTGTTCTTTTGTATGTATAAAAATAGATTTATCTCTAATGTAATCCTTTCAAAGAGATCGTCCTCTTTGGCTAACACAGCGTCATTTAGAAAAGCAAAAGCAAAATGTCTTGAATATAGTTGACCTTATTCAATCTATTATCATGTGCAGATGTCTTGATATTGAAAGACATTAGCTCTCCCCATGGTAAATCTCAAGTCTGGTCTGTAACAGACATTTCAACGAGACAGGTTGGCCTTAATGTTTCATCAGGGTGCCATAAATAATTTTCATGCAATTGGGTTGGGGATATTTTGAGAAATGCTATTTTCGTGATAGTGCCAAACAGATCTGAAGCAAATAAATAAATACCTTTCTGTTGTAAACAGAAGTATAATTATGACACTTATTTGCAGGCTTGATGTTGTACAGTCATCTTTTGATAGGGCAGGAGTTCAAAGTTTCTGGGAAGCTCTTAAGAGAACAGAGGGGTTTTAAATAAAATTGAAGAGCATTTATAAAAGCTGGAGGAACTGGTAACCTTTCTCCTCAAAGGATCAATGATAATTTTAACATTGCCAGATATCATTGCTCACATACCTGACTCTAAGTCAGCTTTAAATGTTCAGCCTTCAGGAACTGCAGTCCTCTTAATCTGCTCTATGCATGTTGTTACTGTAGAGCCCATGTATTCCGCTGATATGCAAAACTTTGACCTCATTTACTCAGGGAGCTTCTATCTGTGCACTAGACTGAAGAATAATACCGGTGCTCTTGAGTTTTTGCTCATCTGTGTTATATCTCTGCAGACCCGCCTAGACCATTGTTCAGTCCATGGTTGTGTTGTTTGGCATTTTTTCAGAGTTACTTTTTGCAGCTACTTGGATCACAAACATATTGATACGATCAAACGTTCCTGCTTCTATTTATCTACACAAACCTGACAGAATAACCTCACTCAAGCACAGTAACATTCAGAATCAAAGCTCATCAGCTAGAACAATATAATTTGGTTGTCTTTCACATCTTGTTTGCATTTTCTCTTGGTCTCTTGACACCAAGGTCAGTTAAAGGGATCTCACACCAAATCATGGCCGACAAAAGCCATGCAAAGTAAAATGGCCTGTGGATAATGTAAAATACAGGTGCAATACAAAAAAAATGATGCAAAAAGTGAAAAAACACCGGTATTTTCCTTTTGACGTGGCTGTGTTGTGGTGAAACGGTTTTCCCCCCACACTCGTCGCTCTCATGCCCACAAGAGAATTACTAATGAACACTGTCACCATGTGAGTACTGCCACTCTGCTCTAAGTTCACAGACAGTCTGCTTGTGTTGAATCCATCTTGAGGATAGATTAGAAAGAATACAGGAAACTTTTTTTTTGTTTTTGTGGACTAAATATGTGTATATCTTCTACTTACTGAACTGTGTTTCTGTGATACATAAGTGACGATTGTGTTGTTTGGTGTGAGACTGTGAGGGAAAGAGTGATGGCCTTCGGACTACTCTTTTCTGTGACCAGTATTCATATTCATTAGTTAACCTAAATCATATTGGGTCTGAGCTAACGAGCTCACATAGGGTAGAGTAACTGCCTTTACGCTAGGCACCACCTAATGCAGGTCAGGAAACAGTAGTCAAAGTTTCTAGAAAATGCTTACATACTCGGCTATTATAACCACCTTAAATATTGAATATATAGTTATATTTTAATAGACGTATATAAGAGAACACTGTTTTTAATTTCATTTTCTTTGATCTAAAAAAATCGCTGATTCAAAATGCCCAAGTGTAAAAAAGTGACTACATCCTCTCCAGCAAGATAGTGGGAGAGATGGTGGGGTAAGAGTTTGGGTAAATTGCACATATTCGTTCATTTAAATTTTTGATCGTTTTGTTCATCAGTTGTCATTATTTGCCTGAATTCAATCAAAGCACTCAGTACACATTCTCTGTCACATTCGTTAGACTGTCTCCTAAATAGATAGCTCTTGCCCCTACCCAACAAACCAGCTACGTACCCCTTCTAATTCAATCCAGGCAAATATAGGGAAGGACTAGCATGTTGTGTAAAGAGAAAAGAAAAACTCCACTAGTGTGTTTGTTTGAAACTCTGACATGTGTATGCTTGAGTATGGTTATGTTTGCTTACGTGTGTGCGTGTATGTGTTTATCTGCATGTCTGTGTTTGTAATAATATATTATGAATTTGTGTGAGAATGTGTCAGAGAGAGACTCAGTCCAGGCCCATGTAGAGTGATGGCACAGGGAGCTCAGGTTGCTCTCCCTGCAGGTCGAAGGAGCTGGTGCCAGCAGCCTCTCTCTCAGGCCTTGTGCTGCTTGCTGGTCTTGAAGGAAACCTGCAGCACGCGGTCACCCAGGCGGTAGCCATTAAGGCTAGCGATGGCCATGGCGGCTTCATCGTAATTGGTCATGGTGACAAAGCCAAAGCCCTTACATTTGTTGGTGGTGAAGTCACGGATGACCTTGACATTGGTGACGGCGCCGAACGGCCCAAAGAGCTGCCACAGGACGCTCTCGTCCGCCTCAGGGGACAGGTTGTACACAAAGATGCACCAGCCGGCTCCAGTTGGACCAGTAAGGTTGACCCCGGCAAGGCTGGTCATGCTGTCAATGGTGATGGGCGAGAATCTGGGGAAGAGAGTAGGAGAGCTACCATGGGTGTCATTCTGAAGTTCCACGCAGCATTCAGTGCTCTATACTGTCTCTTATGGGCATTTATCTGCGAGAAATGATAAAACTTGTAGTCGGGTATAGAGTCGAGGGACCCCATCTCCATCCCCTCTGCTGTACAGTAAGTAGGTAAATATGTGGGCACCACAGTGGCTCCAAACTACCCGTTTTCATACAAAATGACACTGTGTGCACTGAGACACAGACACCCACACAATTTGCATATTTTCTCATTTTCTCTGCTGACCAAAGCCTCTGGAAGAATTAAACACATGAATCACAATGTTCAACAGAAATCACAGTATCGAACAAAACACAGAAACCTAGAGAGGGATGAAAAGCAAATTGGAATCAAATCATACAAAAACTGGAGCAAACAGAGGAGACGCAAACGGAATCTGGTATGTCCATGCTGGTGAAAAAAAGGGGACATTAAAGCAACTGAAACTGACAATGTTAGTTCATAAATAAATACATACATAAATTATTTCTATTAATTAAAACAAACGAACAAAAAGGTTAAACAAAGCCATGCCAGAATACCCTGCTGTTAGAAGGCTGCATCTTTTCTTATTGCAATTACAGATAGTATTTTGTTGTCTGGGCTGCTTCTGTAACATGGTTAAATGGGCAGTGGGCATTAAGAATTATGGCCATTATAATCTAATTTCGAGATGAAGTCAGCAGGTGGTATTCCGGGCACTTTGTTTGAGGTTTTATTTTGGCATGGATGCTTTTGAAAGTACACCTTTGGCATTTACCTCTTGACTCCGTAGCTGGCGTTTAGTAAATTGTCGAGTCTGCAACGCAAGAGGGAGAATGAAGGGGATGCAGAAGTTAGTTATGAGATCTACAAGGAAGGGGGGCTGTCAGTTAACATGTAGCTCCTTCACCAGCTGGCCTCCAGAGGGCATCCTTCACTGCACCGCAGTCCCAAACCATCCAACCACAAACTGATGGCTTGTCAAATAGTCCTGTGAATATGTGCCTCAGCTGGATTTTATTGTTATAAGTGACTTAAGTTGTTTAAGCTCAAAAAAAGGGTTTCCCTTTAATAGCTCAAATGCAATATAAATAAATCCTGTGTCCTAGGCCATTTCACATCTACTGAGTAAAAAGATCTTTTCCATACCTACAATTGTTTGCGAGGTTCCATAAAATATTTCATACTGGAAGCCTTCGACTTTCAAAGCTTTTGAACCTTTATTCATAATTACACATGTAGATTTGGCCAAGCTGTGGCAATTTCAATAATTACGATGCCTATAATACCTATGAAATATAGGCAACACTTACAGGTTCAGTATGATTCTTCTTAAACCAGTATTTATTTAGCTTTTGTTTTGTATTGTACTTGATAAAATCCGGTCTCTTACATTGGTTTTGAGCTGTTATTTGGATCAGGTCCCTTTCCAAGTGAAGGGATCACGCTGCAGTTTAAAAGAAAGTCAGAGAAAAAGAGTGAGAAGGAGGGACAATGCCATATTGTCATTTCCTTCTTTATGATAAAGTAATAATATTGCTAAAAGGAACAATTTAAGTGTTAATAGTGACAGAAAATGTTTAGTTTTTTCCCTTGGAATGTTTTTGACCATAGTTTTCCTTATTATAGCATTAGACCACATTTGCTGTTTTTGGTTTGTGCGACTTCATCTGGTGATTTGTTCTTGAACGTAGCCACTGAAGAGTACTTATTCTTAGCTATTCCCTGGTGTAGTTAATGCTTGATAATTGTCAAAAAACCTTTTAGAGACTTGACTTTGACTATTGACTCATTAATGATAGTGCATGTAATACTAAAACAATGAAATGTTGACTTAACACTTGGCATTTAAAATTTGTAGGATATCGAGTTTGCTTAAGCAAAACAACAGAGCAGGATGACCTGTGACTTGGTCTTGAAACAGTCTCTTTTTAAGGACTATCTGTTGGTTAGTGATGGCCAGTCTGAGGTTGGTAAAGGTTCAGTACCTGAAACGCTGAGTCTGGTGGTGCAGGGGCCCCGTGTAGCGGCGGGCAGCAGTCTGGTAGAGCTGAGTCAGTAAGGCCTGGCCTGTCTTCTGGCTGGGGTTGTTGGCGAACTTGACAGTGATGGGCTCAGCGGCACCCAAAGGCTTCTGTCCGTTCAGACCTTTGATGGCCTCCTCTGCTTCATTTCGCTTGTCAAACCGGATGAAGCCCACTCCTCGTGATATGCCTGCTCCGAATAAGAAAACAGACCAATGTTACTACCTTGGCATCAGCCACTCTTGCTGCCCACAAGTCTAATTGGCCTGACTTGGATAGATAGAGTTCATCCAGATAGAGTGTCAGCATGAGAAGTGAAATAAGGCTATACCTGTAACTTGGTCCACTAAGATGCGGGATGTGATGATGCGACCATATTGGGAGAACAGCTGTTCCATGTCTTTCTGGCTCATGGTCTTGGGGAGTCCACTCACATAAAGGTTGGCATCACGAATAGAAGCCGAGCTTGGCCGGGCATATGATACCTATAACACCCGAATAAAATCAATCAGTAAGTGCATTTTATCAATATACAATACCCCTAAATCACATTAGTCTCAGAGGGCTTAAATCAGAGAAAAACAAAGACTTCAAGTTAAGGAACATGTGAGAAAGACCTGATGTAAGTGGACCGAGTTCCCAAATAGTAACCAACAGTCTTTATATAACTGATTTCTTCTTATTCGTCATCTCCACAGACCCAACTCCGCTCTTTGCTATCTGTGGACTTAATCAATGCCTTTAAGCTCAGACTAAGCCACAATGAGACTGTCACAGACACGCAGAGATGTATTGTGACCATTACCCAAACTGATACCAATCATCAGTTAACAAGCCCAAGTGTCAACTTTGTTTTTCCACTGAAAAACATCAGCCTTAGTCGATATATTTGCCTGAATTCACCAGTGACTTAATTAGTGCACAGCCATTTTTGGTGCGTCTGTGTTTATATCCCTTATGGTTTACTTTTGGTCTACTTTCAGAACCTTTTAGATCTAGTACTGCCGAGGAAAATCTGATTGATTTTGAAAGCCATGCACATATTCTTGTTATTGTGTTTATGGGAGCGTGTGAACACATGTGTGGTAGATAATCCAGTTCAGTGCATTGTTGGGAGCGCTGTGTTTGTGTGTGATGGAGAGACAGAGTGAGTGTTGTCTGAGATAGGCTGAGCTGCCCTCCCTGTCCTGCCTCCTTCCTTTGTCTCTATCCTCTGGGGGAGAACAGCTCCACTGGCAAACAGCAAACAATGTAAGTGCATCACAAGACTTGCAGGATCCTTGACAACTTATAAACACACTGCTCACACACACACACGCAAACACACACACACACACACACCCACACACACACACACACACACACACTCACGCTCACTGTTTATATGCATATGTATTAGTTTTATGAATATAAATGTCCATGAATTCTACTACTTTTTTAGAAATAGTCGTAGCATTTAAATTATATTGTGCATCGGCACAAAGAAAGCATATTACATGTATATTATCTTTCAGATGAATACAGGTGTTCTGATTTCATCCATCAGTACTTAGCACCAGTGTAATTGTGTACACAGACAGACAGTATGAGCAGGAGGGTTGTGTGGTGCAGTGATTAGGGTGTTCTGGACGAGTCAGGGGGGAGTTGCTGTGTTCAGGGAGCAGAGGCTGCCCTATAATTAACCCTCTCCCTGTCGCTCCCACAGTACAGATGGTGCCTGAAGCCCATATGGCCTCTAATCCTGTCATTGGCATTCTGCTCTCCGAGCTACCCCCTACACTTCTACTGTTGCCCCCTCCCTCACAATCTCGCCCCTCTCCATTGAAGCTTCCCGAAAAATCAGAATGATAAAAGTATGGTGTTGCTACTACTACAGGAGTTATTTTTAAATTTGAGAGTAAATTATAAAGAAGTAATTATAGACCGAGCGATCTATGTATAGATACATCACATAATTAATGTCATAACATAAGATTAACAATAAATTATAATAATTGGCATGATCATTTCAGCTACATGGTTGTTCCAGAGTAAGAGTAATTTATCTTGTATTTGAAAGCTTACGCATACTGTGAATCAATATTATGTACAATACAATATGTGTATTTGTTCTTCCAAAAAAATCACCAAATCCAGTACTTAGGTTTGCCTGGACCTAGCTCATTGTTTGTCAGTCATAAGTCAGAATTAACGCCCCTATTCATGAACAGCTGTTGGAGGTTTTCACCTGCTCTGCTCTCTCAGAGATTTGATTTTTTCCATCCTGCAGTTTATCTCAATCTTTGATCTACTTTGATCAGGTTGGGGGGATGGAAGGAAGTAGCGTTTAATGGTATGCCCCCCTCTTTCCCTCATCTGATTTTGGGACAAAGAAGCCCCCTAATTAGCCCCGATTGGAGGCAGATGGGGTAACCTGGACTGACCCTTGTGCACCACAGTCAGGCTTCCTAATTACATTTCCATCACAATAACCTCTGCGTGCTGTCCGCCCCTTGCTTTCTGACCTCCACTCTCGCCTTCTCTTTTCACCCTTTCTCTCACTTGCTTTGTTCTACCCACCGCTCCCTTCTGCCTCCTCCTCCCCATTTTCCTCCCCTCCCTCTGTCACGTCTGTCACCACCTCTCTTAACACCCCCACCTCCCCACCCCACAAAATCTCTCTCAGAATCACTTCCTTTCTTTTTGTCTGGCACGCCATCGAGAATCAAAAAAATGAAAAGTGAATATTGTAGAGAGTCGAGGTCTGCTCACCTTGATTGTTTTAGTCTGTAGTTTGAGACCATTGAGCGTGTTGATGGCCTTGTCTGCATCATTTGGATCCACATAGTTTACGAAGCCATATCCCAAACTCTGACCTGGAGACAATGAAAGAGGCATAGTGATGTCAAACATTATCAAAACCAATTGAAGCGCAAATCTTTTTTTCAATGTGGACAGAGCATTGTACCTGTTATCTTGTCTCTGACTAGCTTGCAGGACTCAATCTCTCCGATGCTACCAAACAAACTTTTGAATTCTTCCTGGGTCATGTTCTGAGGCAGATAGTTAACGATCAGGTTGGTTTTGCTGTCGTCCGTGGAGCCGTTGGTACTGATGACTGGACCGTTTGGCAGACTGGTTCCGCTTGGACCGTTGGACACCTGGGTTTCCATGGTGCTGATTATCTGCTGAGGAAGAGGGTGGAGTTAGATTCATAATTCACAGCAACACACAAAAGGACAGTGGCGATATGTCTTTATAAATATGCGTATCTACTCTTTAACATACGTTCAGCATACTATAATACAAATACAAATAAAAGCTACACACACAGACTGTCCAATTTGTCACTGTCAGAAGCAAAGGAAAGGTATCAGCATTGCTAAAATAGAGATGGATACAAGGTCTGATTTATCATCTCCCCTCCCCCCCTTTCACCCCATCTTTCCAGCTCTCTCGCTCCCTGCCTCTGGTCCTGCAGATGTCACAGTCCCTTTTTCCTTACTCCTCCCCTCCCCCTACTCTCTTCCAGGGTCAAACACCATTACATCATTACACAGGGATGGATAATGGTGATGGTGGTATGTGAGGCTGGCGAGAGGCTTGGGGAGATAGGGGAGGCAGGGGCTGAGATGACGGACAAAGGGGAGAGCGACAATGTTAAATGGATTTCGTGCTACAATAAATGAGGAATAACACGGTCTGGTAGTAACATAAGTCAGGCTTACACATTTGTTCTTCTGAATTTGTTAAGGTTTCTTTGTGGTCAGCTGACTTTTATTTTTGTAGGTAGAGTAAGGGTGTGGGTTAGTGCACAGTATAGTGTTTGTGTCTCTTGTGTTGCTCTGGAGTACACCGTGTTGCTTGATTTGATCCACAGGGGATTCTCAAGGAACATCTGTGTGGTCAGAAACAAAACTTCCTGCTCCACTTTCCCTTTCCCTTTCATCACACTCAGCACCTAGTTCTCTGTCTCCGAATCATGGAAAATCATAGCTAGCAAATTCTGTTTTTTATGTAAAACAAAGGACAAAAAATTTAAAGTTAAACTGATGGTGTCATTGCTTAGTGTGATGTTGATGCTAGAGCTGTACTGATTTGTACGGCTGTTTGAATTCGATCTATCTTCGGTGTACAAACTGAAAACCTGCAACAGTTTTGGACTATTTTAATTTTACATCCTACTTTATGATGCACATGTTGAATATAATCATATGCAATATTTTCTTCATTTGCATCTGAATTATTTTCATGTTCAAATGTCAGATTAAATATTTGACTTATTTCAATTGTCAAAGTAAGTAAGTATTCATGTTTAGAGTTTGTTTCTTCTTGTTGACCCATGCAACTAATATGGTCCTCAATAACACTGCATACTGTATGCTGTTGGAACTACGGTACATATCAGGACCTGCATTCCTTTTCACAAGTCTAGATAAACAGTTTTAATGTGTATGTATGGCCAAATTGTCAAATTGTGTGTTTGAGCTGTTGTAGAACTGTAAGTCGTGGGTGTTATGTAGGCTATGTCAATAGGATTGAATGAGTCTTCTCTAAACTCTTGGGGTCTTACAAAGTAGTCCAAAGCAACAAAGACTTAATTAATGAATGTTCAGAATTATTTCAAGATTATATTCAGGGAATGTCCTGACTTGATAGAGGAATAGGTGTCACTGAACCACATAAGCATTATTTCCAAAAGAAATATTTACCTGGCAAATAGCTCCTATAGCTTTTTGGATCATGTTCTCTGATAACGCAAAACCAGCTTTATTTTAATGCCCAAAGAGGGGTGCTCCCTAAAGTATTTTTTCTTTATTGGTAACTTAGTAATGTTCACTGACACAGATGAGGACTTTCTTTCAGGTTATGAATCTCATTCAGTGTGAAAATGTGGGCTTTCACAGTTCCCTGTCTCTTGGAAATCCATCAACCTATTGTATTTGTATTGTGCTCTGTTTCATTGTTATAACTAAATTAATTTCTTCAGGTATATTTTCAGATCTATATGCCATTTTATGTGTTCTCTCTCCATTTCTAGCATCCGCCAATGGGTCTGTCTAACCTGCCTTTTTCCCTCGTCTCTGTAACCTGCCGTCTTGCTTTGAGCCTCACCTCGACTCAGGTTGCCCAGGTAACAGCCTCTCAAAGACTGCATTGTTTCTAATGGCTGAATGGCTTTCTTACTTTAAGCTCAGTGTGTGTTTGTGTCTGCGCCTATTAGGAACAGATATACAGGTCAGGCAATTTTCCTCCATGTATTAATATTACACGGCTTTGCAGAGGAAGGGAATATCAGTAAGATGAATTGATTATGACAAGGGTTGATAAGACAGCCTAAATATAAAATACTTCAAACATACATCTCCACACAGAGGGAGGGTGATGTAGAATAGCAGTCTTCCATGTGAAGAGTTTGATGCGAAGCTAAAATGTCAGTTGAGTGTAAGTTTGGTGTTTTTATAAATGATGATACGAGTAAGGTGTTGACAGAAAAGGTGGAATTAAGCTTTTATGTTATATTTATTGTAATATTAACCTAGTTCGTTGTTGAGTGATGTGATGCATTTGACTATCAGAAATATGAGCGAGTGAATGTGTCCCAAATATGACAAAAGCATTTTGAAGGGGGAAAAAAAACACATATTAGGGCCAACGGAAATAACCCTCAGCATGGCAGAACACACATCCCCAGTGAACAGTGTGAAGTTATATAATTCACAGAACCACTGAGTAAGGGCTGGACACTGAGAGTGGCTGACACAAGCAGCAACTAAGACTCTTTTTTTTCCACAGAAATAGAGAGAAACAGCATACTTTGAAGTTTTTTTTAAAACAAATTGAAAATATAAAAACCTCAGAGGATTGTTTCATCTCTAGGCTGTCACATTTCATATTGTACACCAACAGCAAAAATCAAATAGTCTAGAGTTTGGTTGGCAGTACCCTAATTAGAAGAGACAATAAGTCATTGTGATGTTGTAGGGAGGCCTACAACAGCATGAATAATCACAATATACCCAATATAGATCTTCTCCAGCTATATGCTGCAGACATTTTCAACTACTGTAGACAATAAAAATGTTTACACCTGTGGTACTTTGTAACCATGATGTCCAACGGTGTACATATGACCCAGGTCTTTTGTTGCGTATCATTACCCCTCGCATCTCAACATATATCTGTATCAAATAAGGATGAAAACATAAAAATAATCTTTTAAAAAAATCTTTAAAAATTTCTAAAAGATTCCAGTTGCTAGGGTGGCACTATGTCCCCCACACTGCTTTTTTTCTATTTTGGGGTTCTGTGAGATCTCCCTTAATATTTAATGTACTGCATCAGCATCGCCTACACATGGTCCCAGACTTGCACGCAAACAAGAGCCCTGCCTCCCCTGCCAAACACATGAACCCAGACTTGCACGCAAACAAGAGCCCTGCCTCCACTGCCAAGCACATGAACCACCTACACTGTACACTATTAAATTACAAAACGCAGGAGCATTACATGACTAAATGTAAATGCAGTCACTGTTCTCTGTCTTCTGATGCTTATAAACCGCCTTCACAATTAATTTCTACTGCGAATGCTACATGTTACAGTGCACCAAGAATCAACAGAAAATACATTTGAATGGCAGTGCAATATAACATGAGAGAAAAGGATGTGGTCACCAACTATATTCTGTTTTGGCATGAAGTCCCAGCAAGGAAGATAAGTGTTTGATAATTGCTTATTGTAGAAGTAAATGTTTGCTGTAGGTTGTTATATATTACTTCTATTTGTGTAGAAAAACTAAACATCAAAGTACACAGTAAAATATATATATATATTGATATATTTTTTGAATTAACAATGATGACGAGGATTTTCCTTTTAATATATAACCTTGTCTCTAGTCCACAATATAATGCATTATATAAAGATTTTTTTTTTTTCTGGAAGGCATGAATCAAAACTGAACGCTAGGCTGAAGTGTAAATGAGCCTTCTAAATAACACAGATTACAGGATTATCCCAAACAAAGGGCATTAGCCACACTCTCTGCAGCTTAAGGGATCATGGTGGCAGCTGTAAAACAACAGGACGACAGGAGTCACAGCTCATGTCAGCCATGCACTGAGGCTCCCTCCTATTCTCCGCTCCGCAGACTAGAAATAAAAGATTTCTAAAAGATTCCAGCTCTGTGAGTATGGGCTGCTTTGATAAGATGGGAGCAGACAACGTCAAAGGCTCGGGGAGACAAATCTGTCTTGCGAGTCCTTGTAGCATGCGGGGCGCTATCCAGCGTGCTGAAAAAGGGAGTGGCTTTCGGACGGTCTCATTTGAGGCCACAGAGGCCCGTGAATACAGCAAAGATCACCGACTGGTTTTATTTTATATTTTGTAGAATTTTCAAACGTTTGAATTGGAGTTACTAAGAAAAAAACACACCTTTGTGGCTATTTCATATGATGCAGATGCACAAGAGAATCCCTCGATTTCCCTGTCTTTCTTATTTAGACCTTTTTAAAAGGCAGGACTTGTGAGCTCTGCAGGCATTCATGAGCCGGAGCGCCTTTTTGCTGAATAAACGTATTGAAACGACCAAACAAAAGAGCCACCCGTTCCTCCTCTTCTCTCTCGCAGAGGCTATGGCAGCACTATGAATATTAATGTAAACAGTGGCGCTTTGTGTTGTGGCCAGGGGCTGCAGGACTCTCCGGGAACAATGGCTGTTACAGTTGCCAGCCCCGAGTCAAAAATCCCATGATAGGTCAAATTAAAAAACACCAAAAGAAAAAACACCGATCGTAGATATTTATCTCTTCGTGTGGATCGTTTTCCCCGACAGAATGACTAGACTTGTGTTTAGTGATAGTTGTAATTCAAAAGCTGGGTAAACTGGCTTTAACTCGGCGAGCGTTGAGCGTGTATAAGGCCAATAACCACCATTATTATTCATAGAAATATATATTATCAGAGAATATCTTGTTTTTTCCATAACCCTCATGAAATTATCAATCAACACTATCGCCAGATTGATGTACCCTCTGCAATTAAATGACGTGATCAATATTTGTTTCCTAAAAAAAGATTATTGTGAGGAAAAAGTGGATTCATTTAGCTGTCTCAGAGATGGAAGGTACACCCTCTTCCTCTTTCTGCCCTTCAGGCTTGATATTTGTTGCTGATAATTAGATGAAGACATGGGCAACAGGAGGCAAATCACCGCTTACATAATTGCATTTAACGTCTCATGTAAGTTAGACAGATCATGTCTTAACTGTAAAAATTTAAGGTTTCGTAAGCATTTGAATGAGTTTATTTTGAGGTGGTCTAAAATGGCCTCTAACCTTTTAAATCACGAGCCAATAAGATTTACGTTTAAATTCTATACAGGCCCTGCAGTTTTTCCTTGATCATCAAACACCTGTTTAGACTGGTTTACAGTGATGGCCTCGACTGTCCTTGTCCTTGAATTGTGTAAGTGCCTTGGAAAGGTTATCTGACTCAACGCTTTTATTTGCTTGGCACTGCGGTACAGGCATGGAGGACTGCGGACCATGTGGAGGAGAGCTACAGCCTCTGTCTGTGTGACACCGTCTAGGCCTGCAAGGGACAATAGGTACAGTACAGCAAGGAGAAAATCCAATGAGACTGGAAATGGAAATGTGTCAAGTGGATAGTTGGAGCCTCACAGATGATACAACAGCGTGCTGTCCACATCCATTTTGCACATTTTTTTTCCCCGAAGCAATATTCTGTCCATTTCAAATTCAGAGAGACGAGATCTCAAAAGTTATTCATGACTCTATATTTCGAGGACCAACTCAATCTCTCACATCCTGTTCTTTCTCTGGGTTAAATAATTTATGCTGAGTTCCGACTATTATTAGTCGTAGACTGAACAGACTAAACATTAAATCATATGTAGATATTATCCCACTATAAATTAATAATTCCCTTAAAACTAAACGTATAAAATAGTTTAGTGATTTTTGTTTATCTCACTTTATTTTTTTTTAACACCTGTCTGTAATTTTGAGGTTAGACCTTGAACAGCATCCACGCTGATTCCCGGTTTATTAGTCATATCCTGGCTTCTAAAATTCATAGTAAATGTGTCTGGTTTTAATTGGTCTGCCTCTGTAAACTACCTGCTGTCAGCCGTACAGAGCATGTCAAGACTGAGAGCGGAGTAGGCCGTTTGACGCTCCAAGGCCCTCGTTTGGTTCTCAAGTCCAGCAGAGACACGCCCAATCCGGCCGACGGCACACAGCGAAGCTACTTTAACTACACTGCTCACATCTCCTTTCATCCGACAGGCGCAATGCAAGCATGGCCATCTTGTACGTATGCGATGTGGTACTTGGGAGGAAATGCGCTTAAAATGGAGATGTCCGTGCGCGTCCTTACTGTCGCGGCCTCTGAGGTTTCCAGCCCATTTACTCGGTTGCATCGCAACGAGAACCCTGAGGAATTTGGACTTTGTCTGATTCAATGCAAACCAATGGATGCGTAATCTCCCTCCTCCCCCCTCCCCCTCTCGGAGTGACTCGACCCTTTTTTTTTCTTTGCCTTGCTGGATGGGCCCTCAGCCTCCGAGGCATCGTGTTTTGTCTCAGAAACTCGTCTCCAGCATCCTTGTGCTGCACCAGGCAAAGAAAGCAAGTCCTCCCCCCACTGAACCCGGCGCCTCGTCGCCTTTCCATCACTGTAATCCTGCGGAATTCCTAAACCTTAACTCGCGCATCATTAAGGAAATATATTCACAGCTGCGACATTTAGGCGGTCGGAGTGGTTGTGATACTGAAACGTAAAGCCCGTGCTGTCTAAAATGGCAGGATAAAGACTTTATCCATGGCTGAGGATGACTGCAGGCAGGAGCGCAGCCGGCATGGCGCATCACTCAGTATGAGAATGCTAATTGCCACTATCGATCGTTAATCTTATCATAATAATATGGCATTGCATATTGGACAGGATCATAGGACACTAATACCAAAGCTCCTCTGTGTTTTGGCATGTGCACACAGCCACGGAGCTCTATTTAAAATGATATTATTCTCCACTAAAGGTACATCACTAGGAAAGATGTGAGATAAATCTGTGTATGACTATATCACATGTGTACATGTAGTTAACAGCACATCCAACACAAAGGACTGACAAACCATGTAAGCATGCTGCTACCACATCCCCTCCACAAATATAAAAGAAATAGAGTAATACGTACAGTAACCATTCTTGACGTACAATGAAAGAAATCTAGGTCCTTCTTTGCACTGGTCTTGAAGCTGAAGGCTGAGTCTCTATGTGCTCTTCGGCCTTTATGTTATATGGCCCTTATGTTCTGTCAGGAGTCCAAATTAAAAGAAAAAAAAAAGAAAAAAAGGAAAAAAATACAATCTTCGCCAGGGGATCTCAGCCCTCTGAGATTGTAGGTGTCCTCTATAGGATGAAAATGAGGAGAAAGGGGTTTTCTACTGGATGATGATGAGGGAGAGCGTTCTCTCCGTGTGGCGTGGGCGATGGTTCAGAAAAAAAGAGAAGCAGTGATCCTCAGCAGGGTGTGTCCAGGGGAGGGTGTTCTGGTTCTGCTGTTTTTGTGTGTAATTCCCTGCTCCTCTCGCAGTGTCCTTCTGTGCCTCTGCTGCAATGTTCTTCTTTTATGCGTCCTCCTGGCTGGCAGAGCGCGCTGCTGATTGGCTAATTGTGCAGGGAGGGTACTACATGGCAGCCATTGCAATGCGCTCCTCTCCCATTATCCCCTTCAGGAGAGATCACCAAGAGCCCCCCCCCACCACCACCACCACCACCACCAACACCACCACCCCACCCCACCCCTTCCCTTCCCTTTTCCATCCCTGCCCTTCCATCTCTCCACTCCCTCCTTCTCGCTGCCCTTCCTTTCTTCCTGCCCCCCTCTTCACACACACACATGCAGAGTGGAGTGAATAGGGCTCCACCTGCACTTTCAGAACAGATGGGTGCAGCAGAAGACAGCGGACTTGTCTCTCTCGTTCCCCACACTTTGCACTCACTTCTCCCTCAGCACAGCCCCTTCCTTTCTCTCTTATTCTCCATTTAGGCCTGTTTGAAACCATAGCAAACAACTTCACTCCTCAGCCCTTTGTCTTTGAGAAGAAAAGCGATTTTAAGTGTAGGTCGGCAGACTTTCTGAGTCCACATTCTCCACTGATAATCACAGAGTTACAATAATGGGAAAAAGAAGAGACAAAATATGCAATAATTGGGTGTGAATTGTGGCTACAAACAAAGCATTAAATCTATAATAAGACCAAGGAGTGGATGATTTCTGGACCTCTCATATGCAAGGCAGATGGCTAGCTGTAGGGTCAGGTGCAGACATGAGAATAACAAATTAGATGCCCCCTGAATTAATTTATGTCCATTCAATGAAAAGTTGAGGAAGGTGCAGTTGTAGCTGTGATCAGGCTCTGCTGAATGAATGAATCTTTTCCTTGCTTTATGAACAGAAATGTGGCCAGCAGTGTTTTTTGTCTTACTTTATACAACATCCCAGGACCCACTATCCTCTTCCTGAGGAGTTCTCATCCCTCTCTGCCCACCTCCTGCTGCTCCCTCCTGTGTCCCTAGCTGTGTGGTGAGTGCTCACTGAGACATGCTGTTTGGGCTCATCTATAATGCATCCCCTGCCCCGGGACATCATGTGTGACAAATGACCTATTTCTGTGCAGACCCCCATAGGGCCTTGACCTGGGGGGTGGAGGGGTGGGGGGTGGGGTGGGGGTGCGTGCGAGTGTGCGTAAATCAGTGTATGTTTGTTTATTTGTGTATGTGAATGTCTGTGGTTGCTGTTGATGTGAGGAAGTGAGGTGGTGAAGAGGGGTTGCTCTCTGTATAGGATGAAAAGCCCCCTGTGTGTTTTTCATCTGTTGAGGAGTGGACAAGTGGAAGCTGATGTGAGCACTCCTGCTACAACAATCAGTTTCTCTGCTCTGCTCTCCCTAACTGACCTTGAGGAGTCCTCAGATGTCTCTGGCTGTAAGGAATGATGGTGCGAGGGACGAAATAGTTTGCATTATTGACACTGGCCACTTGCCTTTGAAGGATGTTAGTCTATAATCAGATGAAGATATAGCACAGGACACCGAAGTAACTAATTTCCTCATTCTGTACGTCTCTCGTTGTTTCTCCCACCTTCCAGTCCCGACTGCCCAATCGCTCTTGTATACCCTTTCTCCTTTTCTGTCATTGTCCTGCAGTTCTTTTCTAGTCAGATTCTGAACATGGGCCCTGTCTGATATTTTACATAATTGCCTTACATAAGTAGCAAGCTCAACTCAGAGCTTGGATGATATTAGTGGAGATGAATATTGCATGAGGAAAGCACTCGTTAAGCGTTAATAAGAGGATAGAGATGGAGCCCCACTGTCAGTCTGTCTTAACCCCGCCCCCACCGTTCTGTCAAGCAGTGACTCAACTCAGCTTGGATGCGTTGGAGCCTTTGAGTCAGTTTGTTAGAGAGGGAGGAATAGTGTCCGTGTGCCTGCACACACACACACACACACACACGTGTGTGTGTGTGTGTGTATGTGTGTGTTTCTGCCGCTGTGTTTGGATGTCTGAGAAGAGACGGTGAGATTCGGTCATTAGGTGCTTGTGTTTTTTCCGTCTTTGTTTGCTGAATAAAAGCGGCTCTTGTAACACAAAGGCACCCAGGTCCGTCAACTGACTGCAGCCCCACTCACAGTTCACACTTAATGTGAATAAATGGGCTTAATTGTGGCCCCTCATTAGAGCCCTGGTTAGTAGCACAGCAGCTGAATCCTCCCTGTGAGTAAGAGGGCATTTGAAGCGCCAATTGTACATTACTGAATCAAAGGATCAAGCATTGGTTTTACTTGAAAGCCTTTTTGTTATTCTACTGATTATTTTCTTATTGTTAAAGGTTCCTCCACTAGTGGTGATTAGGAGTCTTGTTGCAGTGGTCCTTTTCTCTTGGCATATCGTGGAATGCTCCTTGGTGCCAGGGGGATGAACTCACAGACGAAACATACTCAGCACTGCTACCTGTACAATTATCCAAGAAAACATGTTAGAAGGAACATAGAAGTGCACACATTCTGCTTAGCCTTCTTAGTTTTAACTGTACAATTTTATTTATAAAGCATTTCCATAAAATCCATATGCCAGTAGTGTGTGAATTTCTAATTTATTATGTATTTGAACTCAGGCTAGTACATCTATAATGATACAAAACCTTGTAAATTGCAAAGCCCCTTTAGGTCTGAATTCCTTACCCTCATCTCCATTATTCTCGTAGTCTTGCATCAAAATGAATGCCTGTTGCCATTGCCCTGCGGTAAGATAGTGGCCCGTGAGTGTGTGAGGGAGAGAGGGGGAGAGAGAAGGAGAGTGAGAGAGTGACACTATGACACTATGACAGTGTATCTGGGGGATGGGTAGGATGAATCAGCCTCAGGTCTGGTTAATTCAGTGGTCTCTCCACTAGGCCTGGCTCTTGGCAATTCAGGGTTTTGTGGCAGCAGCAGTGAAGCAGTTTTTGCTTTCAGGAAAGAATCCAAAATTAAATTAGCCTCTTTTTAAAAGGACATTTGTTGATAATGGCAACTGGCCTAATTCAACCCTTTATGTATGATTTTGGCAATTTTCTTGTGGTCTCCCTCATGGGTTCACTCTTGCACTTTCTCTCCGTCTCTCTCCTCTCTTTCTCTCTATATCTTTCTCTCCCTCTGTCTGTCTGGATGTGTTGTCTCAGGGCTATTATTAGAGTAGACAGGCTGGTGGGAGGAAGTCTCTGAAGTAGACGCTCTTGTCATCTTTTTATTTATGGATTATATTTTGCTTTCCGTGTGCCTGTTTAATTCTTTGTGTACGGTTATGTGTCTTTTTTTTTTTTTCCATTGCAGAACGGGATATGTTTAAACTTTCAGGCAGGAAGACTCCACATTCTTATCATTTGATTAAAGGAAAACATGCATATGCTGACACATATTAATACATGTTAATGATAGGATTATCTGTGCCACATCTGTATCTGCATGTGTGTATGACTGTTCATGTGGCTTTGAGGTGGGGTGATGCAGGACTAACCTCCTTTGCCGAGTCCATGTTTTACTCAAAACCTTTTTAAATATAAAGCTGTGGTTATTAATCTTTCATTTTGTCCTGTCTGAGTTGGTATCTAGGGAGAGACCTTAAATACACAAAGCTCTTAGACATTCTCTTTGTTTTTCTCTCGCTCCTTTTCCTGCCGCTCTCTTTCTATCTGACATGAAAAAAACACACAAGTGACAGACACAAAACGAATAGATGAGGTGCAAGTATGCCTGTTCCTGTTAAGCTGAGCTGTTTTTAGCCTCATGAACTGTGTACATGCCCGACTTTTGATGAACAACAAATAATGTAAAACACATTTCCTGCCCCAACCTGAAATGTTCTCAGTGTACTTTCATGTAGAATGTCCTGTATTTACTCGGCAGAGAAAAACTAGATTATTGAATAGATAACATTGGCTGTCCAAAGGGGATATGATAATGTTTCCTAGAAAAACTCTGGTTCATCCATTACACTCTATTTTCTCCCCCTCCATCTTCCTCCTTCCTCCTCTCCTCTTTCAATCTCTTGCTCTCTCTCCCTGTAGTCCAGCTCTCTCCCCCTCATGGCCCTCCCCTGTTTCAGTAATAGGAGACTTGAAATCAATAGCACATTAGTCTGGCCGGAAACTCTTGTGGAATTAAATATGAATGACTGAGATTGCAGCTCTACCTGCTGCTGAGAGAGATGCATGATGGCTCTTGGGGATATGGGATTTTTTTTTTTTCGTTCCTCCCTCCAGTAAACAGTCAGGCCATTTTGTGCTGTTCTTACAGCTTTCCGGATCACTGGGCTACCTTGTTTTGTCGGCGATCAGTGTGCAGCACTACGGACTCTGATAGGTATTGTTGGGGTCGTCGTTTTGTCTTCAGCACTGAAGAGTGACCAGTCCGATAGCATAATTTGATAGAGCAAATGCGATCGTGGACGTCACAAAGCCGCGACAGCTCAGGAGGCAAGAAGAATCAACCGGCCACACCCATCCTCCAAACACAGCAGCAGCAACATTTGAATATGAAAGAGCTCGCTGGTTATTAGCAGATTGCATCTTACTTTTTTCAGTGTTTCCTCCAAAGACATTGTGTGCCTTCTCTTTCATTTAACGATCATATTCGCTGCTCTGTACATTCAATCTGGAACTTTTTACATGCAAATTTCGTTACTTGGTAGTCTTCCATTTTCATTTACTGGTTCACTGTGTAAAGTGGAATAATTTCCTTTAACATGCTGTTTGGCTTAAAAGCATAATTTGCAAGGTGGTTGGAGAGTGCTGGCTGGTGGGAGGAAGGTAATATGAGACAAAAAGCCACTGCGTATGCTTCTGGGAATTGGTAGAGGCTTGGGCACCAGTAAGCTAATACACGTAGATGATATAGACGTAGATGTATTTGTGAGCTATATTTCATCCCATCAGAGATGAAACGGTTTGTGACAGATGGAGTGATATTGTTCCCCTGTACGGCCCATGAGTGCGGCCCCTCCTGTTTTCCCTCCCTGACAGATGTAGGGGGAGGACCACAGTGCACTCTTCTTTCTTTCAATTGATTTGGGTGCTTGAACCCTTAGGGACTGGAGGATGGTGTTGGGATGGGGGTGGTAGTAATGGTGATGGGGGTTTAGTCATTTCCTGCAGCACAGAACCTGTAAAAAGTCTATAGCAAGTGCTGTAAAGAACTCATAAACGTATTATATGCATATATCTGCATATACTCAAACGTGGAGCGCACTAATAGCAGTGTGTGCTCTGTACTGAGTGGAGCTGGAAGGGAATATTTCCATAAATCTTGGTTAGTGAGTGGCAGCAAAGCATGCATCCATGCATGTAATGTAGGCAGAGGAAAGTGAGGCTGTTTTGTTTGATTAGCTGAAATTGTTTCTAGGACAGTGGAGAGGTGAATACCAAGAGCTGTAGGTTGGTGTGTAATTAAGCAGACTTTTAGTGATTCAGCAAAGATTACCTTTAACCCCCACCCCTCCAAAATCTGACTGTAGGATCAACAGAGGAGACTTAACAGCTGTTTTGTAGCAGATGTGCCCTGTTGCTTCACCTCAGTCTCTGTCCCGGGAGGGGAAAGGTCAAACCATGGGTGGAGGATGAAGCAGAGACTCTCCTGAAGATGCTACATGTTGATGCTTTGAGAGAAACAAACAAATGAGCATCTGCCTGCCCCTTCTATAGCACGCCACCACAGGACTGAGATTAGAATTAGCATTATTGATTACAATACTCAGTCTGGTGTAATTCCTCCATCCTGCTTTAAGAGCAGCTGAACTAGCAAGATCTAGAAAAACCTATGCAATTGTTTTTTTACCATTAAAGTTTTATATCACATTATCTACCTCAGGAAAGCATTATCTTTTATCTTTCTTTTAAATAATTATTGCATGTATCTTTTTCCGCTTTTTTGGTTATTGTTTTTTCCTTTTTATCTGAAAGACAGATTGTGGGTTTGTCCTTCCTTTTTAGGACTTAATGTTGTTAAAGTTTGCACTGCTGGCAGAGTAATATCCTGGAAGCAGACCCCAGTAAAAAGTGGTTAATGATTTTAATAGGACTCCCTGGTGGGGAGGGATAGAGAGGGGACGTGCCCTGGCTACGGGCGCGTGGCGGTGGAGCAGGTGGATGACGGGCAGCTGAGTAGTGGGCTCCGGGGGGAGGGGGGCATCCATTTTGCAGGACTCTTGGGGTTGAGAGAAACCCTGAAAAAAAAAGGCAACCCCATCTGGAACTGAGGTGGGGGCTCTGGTGTGAAAGAGATCTAGTGGGTGGTGTCTGACACTCTCTCTTTTGTTCTTTGGTAACACAGCAGTGATGGTGGTGGTGGTGGTGGTGGGGGCTCTGGCTGCCGTGGGGGCTGGGCGCTCAAACAATAGTGCCGAATCTAGGAACTGAAAGCCTTCGATGAACAGAAAGGCAAGGAAGCAGGCAGGGAAGGTGCGGACAGAAGGATAAAGCCAGCATGGGTTCTGGCCACTTATAGTACATGGGCTTTCCAACTATGCAAGGACGTTGCAATGTCACACAAACACACAGTATATCTCAGTGAATTTATATTAAAATGTTGAATATGTTAATATTTAGAAATGTATTTATTCAGGTTAGATTGATGGGATATGTATAGGATGTATGTACATATAAAAACGGAGAGAAGAACAAGATTATATTTCATTACTAAACAAATCAATTATGGAAAGCACCACTGTGCAATGAATTAGAATATGTTAGAATATGTTGAACCTTGGAGTAGCAGAGAGAAAGAACGATGAGTTTTGGCATTATGGTGGAAGAGTGCCTGTATAGGGGAAAGATGGAGAGCGTGAGCTTCATTTATTTTCATTAGCAATGTCTATGGGCCAGACCCGTGCCTGCTCTGATGCTACTCTGACTGCTGCTCCATGCATAAACATATATCCCCGAGACGTCTGTCCTTGCTCTGCTTCAGCCAAGCCTCTGTCACGCAAGGTTAATTTTTCCTCCCCTCTCTCCATTTTTCATATCTCTCCTATACAATTCATGCCATTCATCAGCCATCTCACAGAGGACGGCCCGAGTACCTGCAGCAGCTCTCCAGGGTGCTGAATAGGAAGACTGTGGGCTAGAAGGAGTGAGCGGTGGGAGGGAGGGCTGCAGCAGCAAGAATGGCTATATTAATTCTTCTTAGTAGGCATGGGGGTATATAGTGATTGCAGGCAGGGAGGAGGGAGATGTAGACCTGCCATTACAATAAACTGACAAATCCTCCATTAGTGAGAGCAGTCACTGACAATGTTATCCCTCATCTGCTCAAACAGGACAGAGAGAGGACTGTGGTAAATATACAATTTCAGACATATTTGTTTTATCCACCTTAAATAATCCACAGCATCCATTTATGGTTGTTTGTTTGAGACTTTTATAATATTTCTGTATTAATGGGCTCACTGGTGTGACTTTCAGTCACTGTTGGCCAGAAGGCCAGTAAAGACAGCTGTAGCTATTTCTCATCTCCTTGTAGAGGTCAAATTTGAAGACTGAATCTTAAACAATCACTGATGAGGCAAGGCTTTCTTTCTTCTCCAATCATGGTGAACAGCCCCACCTGCTGGTCTAGTCCCAGTGCAACACTATGTTGTCTACCAGAAACATGATATATGACAAGCAGTCCTCTAGATGCTGCTATTGTGCCTATTTTTTTTATTCAAATGAGATAAAACTTGGCATCAACAACAGGAAAGAAAGTAACGGATTAAACGTGAATCAGATAAATATCAAATCATGTTCCCCTCAGATAGGACAGGTCATGCCCAGTGGTTTTATGTGTGATGTCAGAGTCATGTAATCAAAGTAAAGAAAAACAAAACTAAAACAAGACACTGTGGGAGTAACAGAGTTCTTGGAACTTCTTTTGCCTGCTTCCTAAATTTTATACAGAAGTGAAACCTTAAACTGAAGTGGATATGCGCCATTTTCAGGTCGCTCTAAACCGGTCAGGTGAGATTTCTGCATGAACAGATGGTGGATATAGCCACCTAGGACAAGCTGGTCAAACTACTGGAGACAAACAGTAAGACCGGAAGTAAAGTGATGGTTTTTGTGGCGATTTAAATTCGAAAAGCGTCATTATCCTCGTGTGAAATTACTACACATCTATAAAATGACACTGTGAATTATACGACGTGAAACTGGTGTTGTATCGTTACGCATAACTTAATAGAGAATTTGAAAATAAATAAAATACGGTTTTATTTTTGAAGTTTCACCGGATGTAGTAAGTGCCTCACGCTACACTTGACACAAATGGCCACGGTTCAGCTCCCAGCCGCTAGGAGGAACAAGGAGGGATCTCTGCCCGGTCCCAGCGTGGAGAAGGAAGCGGTCTGAGTGTCCGCATCCCCACACACACAAGACGGGACAGAGCCAAAGCACAGGAGGAGGGAGAGTGCTTTCAGTTTGACTTCGAAGAGTTTCTTTACATGGGGACGAAAAAATGACATCTACAGCCAGCGAAAGGAGGGCGTTCGCTCATAAAATCAACCGGTGAGCCTGTAACAGAAGTTATTGTTTAACAGCTCGCAGTTGCGTGTGAGAGTGACCTGCTGGACACACGGTACATATAGCCAGTATGCTAGGGTTTCTAATGTATCACTAGCCATAAACTGGTTAATATAAACACAGCTGTACCGTGCTGGAATGAAACAAAAGTTTACTGAAGCAGTTCGTGCTCTCATAGGTGGTCTCTTACTCTTTGAAGAGTTTAATAGCCTGTGTGTGTGTACGTGATGGTAACATCGTAAGAGAGCATTGTCACCAACAATGATTGAGCTACTTAAGGATAACACAGTGAAGCGGGAGGCTAATCGAGTGATTGATTGACTAATGAATGATTGTGTCATTAGGGAGTATTAAAACCTAGTCATGCCGAGGAAAATTATGTATACATATCAAAATGGCACTAAGTGACACCAGGATGTGTTGTTATTGTGTCGTGTGAACGCCTCGCAGCATTAATGCATTGACCTGTTTCCACATGTTGTAAACTGGTTCTCCTTCTCCGTAAGAAACTGTAATACTGCATGGACTGGAAATCTATTCTTCAAATGGCTCTTTGAACAACAGGCTGTAACAACAGTCGTTTGCTGCAATAGATTTCATTTTTTTTTTACAAATGTGGCTCTTCCAAACCTCTATTTTGTCCAGGGTTGTGTTATTTTCCGAATCACCCTCATCTTCACACTTCATTTGATTGTCAAGAAACAGCTTATCCTTGCAACTCCAGAAGCCTGTGAGAAAAAACAAACAGGAGCACAGATTCTTATCATTGACCTACTACAAGTGGATATTCTTCACCCTCAGTGAAAGCTTTGCTTGAAGCATCCCTGGATTGTGGTTTTTGGAAACTTTGGACTAGGCTCCATCCCAGGGTGGACTCGTTTCTTCATCACTTTATTTATATGCCTGTTGGTCACCAATAACATATAAGAGTCTCCTGCTGCATTCCCCAAGTCCTGTCTTTCCTCTCCTTAGTGGGACCCAGACCATTGTTTAGTGCCGGATGCAGGAAGGGGTGGGAAGGGGTGTTCTAGTTATTGCAGTCGATAGCTTTCCTTTTTCCTGTTTGAAACGAAGGTGTATAGAGCTGCAGAAACTATTTCCACATTGTCTGAGGATATAGTATTGGCTCACAAAGTCTAAACATGCAGAACAGGCTACTTTCAAAGAAGGCATCATCAGGAATTTAAAAAGCGTAACTATATCTTAGAAATGGGGAGTAGAGGGCATAGGTCTTCTTTGTGCCACAGTCCTCATGTGTTGATGGAATGAAGGCATGGATCTTAGCTCTGTAATCATGAGGACAATTGTTTGGGAAATGTTAAAGCTTCTGCAGCTGTGTATATGAGAGAAACAGACAGTGTGCGGTTCTAGAGGAGCAGCTGCTTGCTGTTTCTGTGAGGGGATTGTTTTTTTTTCCTGCATTGTCTCTCTTTAAGCTTCCCATTTGCCGTTAGTTCATAAAGGCCATGGACAGAGCTCTGGCTCTGTGCCTGCTCCCTGGAGCCGGCTCGCCACCTCTCTGTGGGATCCGCTCAAGTCCCTATTCAGAACAGCTGCTGGCCTTCAGCATCACTACCAGCACCAGAAGCTGAGAACTGTAACGGGGGGGGGGGGGGGGGGGGGGGGGGGGGGGGGTTGTAGATCGTATAGGCATCTCTCTGAAAGGCAGAGGTTGAGCCATACCAGTGCAGATGAACTTTGTGCTTTTGCAATCTGAAAAAATTAAATGAGTGTGAGAGAGACTGTGTGTGAATAACTTAAAAGGGTTTTGTTTATGCACATTTCGCTTGTATGTTTTTGGAAGTGATTGTAGTTCTGGGATTTGTATTGTGGAAGTGGAAGATGCAAACACTGGCATGATTTCAAATTTATGAATCCACACATCAAATAAGTCTCGCTTTATGTTTTATTTATCTTAAACATCCCCCATCTTACCATGTTTTAGCAGCTAGTTTTCACAGTCTTGTCATGTCATGCTAATTTGTGCTTTTGTTCTCTCTTTGATTGTCTGACAAATCTTTTATATCTTTCTCTTGCTTAGAACGGTTGCTGCCGAGGTCAGAAAACAAGTGTCCAGAGAGTATGGCTCTCCTCAGCTGTCAAAGAAGCGAGGCGGTGCACACCAACCCGTGAGTCACCCTGTGTTTAACTTGCCGGAGTTTCAAGCCAGTAGGTTTGGAGCCCCAATTAGCGAGGTCAGAAGTTGGTGGGTGTAAATTTCTGAGATCGGTTTAAGTTTAGATACAAGTAAAGTAGGTGCGTGTAGTTTTAATTAGTGTTGACAGGTGGCACGAAGGCAGGTGGTTTTGAAACATGATATACCTGCTCCCACTCACCTGTGTTGTTTGACAGCCAGGCTATAGGTTCCTGCGAGAATGCTCACCCAAAATAGGGGGTCATTATATAAGGTGCTATGTTTTGGAAAATGTCTGTCTTATTACAATGATGACAGCCAAGTTCTTAATTAGTCCAACAGAAATTTTATGACATCTTTGTGGACTCTGCTGTGAACTGGAAACCCCTGAGAAACCAGACATAAGTTGTGGAAGAGAGTCTGTTTACTCATTGTAGTGTAGAAGTTCCTCATACGGGCAAAGGAGACAAGCTAACCTAGGTTTTAGGTTACTACTGATGAGGTCATTTGGTTTCATGTACTGCTCGCAGTAGTGGCTGTGGCAGATTCTGGTTTGGCTGTAACCCAAACAAAGGAAGGTAAGTTTATCACAAAAAACTGAAAACTGAAAGCGAAATGTTATCAACACACCATTTAAACACAACATTAATCTTCAGTGTCTTGTGAGCGTGTACATCTTCAGAGTGCAGGTTTTTGACAGCTGGTAAAAGTTTGTGAGTCTTTGAGTTTAGTGAGAAATGCCCATAATAAAATTACTTCACACATGCAAAATATTTTCTGTGAAACAGATACGTATTCATGATGATGTGTGATAAATAGACAAATATTGTTTTCACATGAACACCTGTCCTTTCTATATTCATCCATTTTCTGTGTTTTACATCATATATAAATCAGAAATTCCATATCTGTCTGTCCTAATAGCCTCATGTCTCCTGTCCTGCTCATCAAGTTAGGATCTGTCACTATGGCCATGTCATAGTTATTGGTACATAATATTTTAATGTTGATTGACAGTTGCCCCTGACAGAGGTGGTTGAGCCGGTGGATTTTGAGGAGTATGTGAGCAGTCACGCTCCAGCCGTGGAGCCTGGCCCACTCAGACAGCTAATGGAGTTCCCCCAGGATGACCTGGAGCTCCTCCAGCTGGACAAAGAGTGCACTACACTGGAGCCCCCACTGCCAGAGGAGGAGGAGTAAGTCCAGCTGCTAATGGCCAACACAACCCCTCATACTGTAACACACACATCCCTCTGTGCTTTTTGCACTGCCACACACACAGAAGACTAATATTACTGTAATGGAGGACAAACATCCCTACAGATAGGAACAAAGCCTTCCTCTCTGACACTGAGTGAACATAAATATTAAAAGCATGTTTCGCTTAATTATTAATGTGTTTTTCTATGAAGCTCATTGGATCCCAGAGTGAGAGATGCCTTGGCAGTCTACACAGACGACTGGCTTGTCATTCAGAGAAAGTAAGCGATGTCAGCCGTGGTACCAGTTGAATTAACCCAGTTTTTCATCTATTGTTTAATAATGTGCACCACTTTTCCCTGCTCACGCTTCAGGTGATTGACAGTTACATTATTACAGAGACAACTTTTTACTTCTTTTCTTGTAGGTATCAGCGCTACAGCACCACATACACCCCTCAGAACTCTGAGCGACAGAGGGAGAGGCAGCGAGGCCTGGTCAAACAGACCTTTGAACTGGACGCCGCTGCCGCCGCCGAGCGTCAGGATGACCAGGTAGCTGATGGTCTTATTCAAAGGACTCGTTATCTTGAACATTGAAAGGCCAATCAGTTTAGGTTCATTAAAATTTTTTAATGATTTATTGTACATACAGTGTTGCCAGGAGTAAAAGCTTAAGAGCTTTATCATGCTCCTGAAACCCCTACCATTTACTACCTGGACAAAGAGATGGAGAGAATAGCCAATGAGGCGCCTTTGAGTTATGTGGTATATTATGAGTATATTCTGCTCAGTGAGGTGATCATGTGGGGAATGAGTAATAGATAATGGATATACCTTGTCCATTATGCACAGCACATTATCCATATGAATCATATTAAATAGGTAATGGGATCTATAGTGTTTTGTTCTCCTCATCTTTCAAAAACATCTTTGCTTAGAGGGAGAAAAAAAAACATGATCTCACCCCTCTGTCTCACTCTTATGTGTTTCAGGATGACGCAAAGCGGCGGTCAGTTAGCCTTGATGAGACCCCTCGGGGCAGCTGGGCCTCCAGCATCTTCGACCTGAAGAACTCCTCCCCAGACGCTCTCCTGCCGTCCGTGCTGGAACGTACAGCTGCCGAGGACATGGACCGCCGCAATACGGAGGCACGCCTGCAGGGGCGCCACAGTGACCTGCTGGGCCTGTACCCTCCCCCTGATGAGGTTTGTGTTAAACCAGACTTATCCTCCTCTGTTGTGGACCTGTGAGTTTATAATATAAATTAGTATTAGTATCATGATTCTTGATTATTACTTTGTATTAAATACAGTTTCTTAAGCTTTACCCAGTTAATGCAGGGCAGTATTTTTGGCTCAGGCCAAAATCAATAGAATTGATTACATTTTTATGAAAAACAGGCTTATTATGCTCATGGGAAAATTAGCTGTGGCCCGACATCACACAGCAAAGGCCACATATTTAACAAGTGAGGTAATTGTCTAAAGCATAATCCAGTAACTGACTGCACTGATAATGAACACTTGCCATTTCCACGAATCAGTATCCCTGGGAGAAATCCTGTAATGGGAACTTTTAGCAACAGCCACCAAGAGACTAAGTTTGTTTTTATAAGGGAAATCTTCTCCCACTGGCAGTAATGCATTTAGAAGCAAAAATGGTTTGTTTGAAAGAAGTTAAAGAACAACTTGTTAGTTTATGTTTGCAGCAATAACCAGTAAGTGGAAGAGCGCAACCTATGAAAAGCCAAATGTCATCACCAAAAAATAGTTTTCAGTATTAGCCGCACAGATTGATGGGAACTTGATATCATAAATCACTGCTTTAACACTGCGACCAGCAGAGCACTCTGGTGGAAATGTAAGTACATGCAGCTGCCATTGGTTTCAGCTCAGAGTAACATTATTGAATGTTCCCATAAAGTGAATGTGCTTGATGTGTGAAAACCCAGCCTGTTGTATGGAACTGTTTGCTTTTCTTTCCTCTGCGTTCTCCTTTTCTTGCTCCATCCTTCTTTCTTTATATCTGTGTACACACCGCCGCTTTCTCCGCTGCTACGTTGCCATGACATCTGTGTAAATGTTATGCTTGTGTGTGTGTGTGTGTGTGTGTGTGTGTGTGTGTGTGTGTGTGTGTGTGTGTGTGTGTGTGTGTGTGTGTGTGTGTTGTACATGGCCTTGTTGTCCGTGTGGCAGGATGAAGCCGTAGAGAGATGCTCTGTTCCTGAAGTGCCCAAAGAACATTGTGGCCAGAGGATCATGGTCAAGTGTCTGTCTCTGAAGTGGGTAACATTTGGAATATAACTTTTATGTCTTCATGCTCTGATTCATTATTAGAAACTTCCCCTGATATTTTCCATATTTGAGAACCACTGTATATTTTGTATTTCCTCAGATTTGAAATAGAAATTGAGCCAATATTTGGAACACTTGCCCTCTATGATGTCAAGGAAAAGAAGAAGGTATTTTATTATATATTTTTGTTACAATAGATCAGATTTTTTATTTGGTACAATGAGTAATCTTCCAATGGCTTTCACTCTGTAAAACCACTTACGTAATGCTGAGCTCATGCTCGACTAATTGAATTTCCCTTGTCTCAAAAAGGTCTAAGTGGTCTTGCGGTTTAGATCACTGAGTCATAACTGAATTAAAATCCCTTGACGTGCATTTCCATTATCATCTTTCCTTCCCCTCCCTCTCCTGCTTCCCGCTTATCTCAATCTTCCTTCCAACAGATCTCTGAGAATTTTTACTTTGACCTGAACTCGGATCAGATGAAAGGGCTGCTAAAACCCCACACACCTCACATAGCCATATCCACACTGGCCCGGTCTGCCATTTTCTCCATCACATACCCTTCCGCCGATATCTTCTTAGTCATTAAGGTACTGTGAAACCCCTGTTTTACTCTTTTTCACTGACTTAATGGGAATTATTTCTTATTGGTTCATTCAGACATTCACGTTCCCCTTTAATCAGCATTTTAAGTGCTACATATAATTACATCTAATTTGCATACACAATATCCAGGTATTGCATAATAAATAATGTGCTTTAATGTGTTGGCAATCATGTGCGTGTTCTGTTCATTCTAGCTTGAGAAAGTCCTTCAACAAGGAGACATTGGAGAATGCTGTGAACCCTACATGGTCATGAAAGAGTCAGATTCCTCTAAGGTAATGGAGCCAAAATGTGTTTTAAACTGTTGCAATGCTCAGGGCTGGCAGCCAGCACGACATGGGACCCTTTTACGGTCTGGTCACAAGCATTTCTCAATTCTGTCTGGTAGCTGCAATATTTGCTATCCTCTTTTGCCCTTCAGATCTGCTGGCTATTGCAGATATTTTAAGCTGATCAATACAATATGTTTTGATTTTGTTTTTATCACATCTTGTCCCACTTCAGCACAAGGAGAAGCTGGAGAAGCTGCGTCTGCAGGCAGAGCAGTCATGCAGTCGTCTTGGTCAGTTTCGCATGCCTTTTGCCTGGACAGCCATTCACCTTCTCAACATTGTCAGCAGTGTAGGAGGTCTGGATCGGTCAGACCCGGACTCTGACTCTGGTACTGCTGACTCCAAACATGTTCTCACTATCAGACAATGTCCCACAGGCACATACGCACAGCATTCAGCTATTGAAAGTGACAAAAGTATTGCAGAATTAACATTCAATCTTTAATTCCTTATGATTTGTCTTCCTTCCAGAGCGAAAAAGTCATGGGACATGGAATGAGAGAAAGAAGAAGGGGTTTGAGCGGATGAGCGTTGGGGACGACATGTGTAACTTTGCCACTTTCCGACCTGCAACGCTCACTGTCACTAACTTCTTCAAACAGGTCTGTCCAGGTGTAATACTTGCATCTCGTGTCGGTTTTTGTATTGTTACACTTGTCCGGACTATGATGTTTTACGTAAAGTGGCCAAATTACTCATCATTTTACTGTTGAAGCTGTAATGGCAAAAGACAAGCAACCAACTGGGACCAATTGATTTGATATGAAATAAAGCCCAGATTTGAGTTTTGAGTTACACACAACTGCCCCCTTGATTTATTGAACAATATAATAAGGAATAGAACAGATAAGAAAGCAGCTTACATTATAAAGTATAATAAATTAAGCATAAAATTCAGGCAATTTATGTTAGTTTAGTTTCTTCAGTAAAACCCATATTTGTATAGTTAAAAATATATCTCAGTTGATCTTTTAGTGTGATAAAATTATGAAATCAAATGCAGATTGTAATCTACAGTTTCCCCCAAAACAAGTGTGCTCAAATGCTTCAATCATAAGTACAATAAGTCATTATTTTGTGTGTTTTACGCAGTAGTTATACTTTTGTAATCCCAGTACAAACTGCTCTCCTGCTTGTGTGCATGAAGGAGGGGGACAGACTAAGTGATGAGGACCTCTACAAGTTTCTGGCAGATATGCGCCGACCATCATCTGTTCTGCGGAGACTGAGACCCGTCACAGGTGAGCACGACTTGCACGACTTGCACGACTTGCACGACTTCCACATATAGGTCAAGAAATTTACTGTGTCTGTAAGTATGAGTTCATGTACAAATGTTTATGGATGATTTGTAATCCCTTGTGCCTTGTTGTGTAACCATCACTTATTTTGTCCTTCAGCCCAGTTGAAGATCGATATCTCTCCAGCTCCGGACCTGCCTCATTACTGTCTGTCACCGGAGCTGCTCCACGTGAAGCCTTACCCTGACCTGCGTGTTCGCCCAACCAAAGAGGTGCAGGAGTTCCCTGCTCGCTATGTGTACACTCCACACACCACCTACAGGTGAGCGTTCACCCGTCAAAGACGCACGCACGCACATACACACACCCTGTAAGTTGACTTATAGAACAAATATTCATTCACCCTGTCACTGCACGCATGGCTCATTGTGTTTGTTTATTCTAGTTTAGGTTAAGGAAAGAGGATAGCAGGTTCTGAATTTCAAATTAAAACATTTTTATTGATATTTTTATTGTTTTGTAAAATATATACTGTAAATACAAAAACAAGCCCTCATCTTTGAGTTTTTAATATATATTAAAAATAACCCGTGGTACTGTTTGGTGAAACAAAATCTTCTAATAATTTAATAACTTTATTTGAATTTAAAAAATTTAAAAACAAAGTTTACAAAGTACACCAAGTCAAGACAAGAAACATTACATAAGAAATACACTCAGTTCATTAGGCACCTGTAACTAATGCCGTCAAATACAACAATCCTGCAGTAAATCCTAGCTTCAGAAAAGTTATAATGTTCACTTTTTATTCAGTTTTTGGTGTTGACTCAGCTGTGTGATCATTTTGGAGGGTGTAGTTTGTGGTGTTGTTGAACTGTATTGCATTATACAGAGAGGTGTTTCTGTTATTTAGCCCACCTTCAATTATTTAAATCAGGTAGACAAAGTAAAATAAACACCTGTCAATATAACAATACCCTTCAACCACAAACTGCAGCCCACAACATAACAGTAAAGTTGAATCAACACCTCTTTAAAACAGTTTCAACACAAACTGATTATTACATTATTATATAACTGACATGTAGCTAAATGTAGATGACAGCCACAAAAACAAGGACATAATCATAAGGGTGCTAGCAGAAAATATTTACCGGCTATACAGTAGATCTGTAGTATACATATCAGGGTTGGAAGGGAGTGCGGTGACGTTTCAGAGTTGAGATGTAGGTGGACCCGTCTCATTCAAAGCTGTGTAGACTGGGAGACCTCAGTGCTGAATCTTAGAACAACTATCTTATAGCTTCACTCTGGAAGAAGGAAATAAAATGGTAAATTTAATGAAATGAAAACATCAAATGGATGTTTTGAACAAGTGACTCACCATCTTCTGCAGTTTGGAGAGCTGCTCATTCTGAGTATCAATGTTCTCCTTTTGAAACTGGGTAAAATACCGTAAACCTCTCAAGATGGTTAAATTCTCCTCGGCTCTCTCCTAATAACAGTAAAAAAAGTAACTAAATTAGTTAAATCAGTGACTGGTATTCAAATATGTACAGTTGTCTGGTGCCTTTGCATTAACCAAACGTACATGTTGGCAGGCTGATGGGACAGTGAGGTAAGGGTAAGGGTTGTTTTCTTCGATCTCTAAGCTGTAACTATAAAGAGGCTTTCAGCTTTCTGTTACCTGCAGCTCTTTGATGCTGCTGGGTGAGGAGTTGTTGAGATACATCTCCAACCTTCTCACTTTTGTCTCCAGCTCCACCTCTTCCTGCTCCACACTGGCCACCCAGTCTTTAGTCATCTTGGTCTGAGCTTGTTGCTTTGCCATCTGGTCCTGTCAAAAGAGCATCTGTCCAGATTATCCTCTTCCCCCACCAACGATCCCAGTGCAGCTGGCAGCTGCCTGCCCCACAGTGTAACATGCAGCTCTCTAATGACACTCTCACTCTCTTATCTCAGATAAAAGAGTTTGATTTATCCATATACATCAGGAAAATAAATTAAAGGACCATATGATGACTTTGGGTCAAAAGAAGAAGAGTGAGGTGCTTAAGCACAGAATAGTTACTTCGGATTTTATGAGCCATGGTGTAGGTGTTTTTTTCAAATCACCAAGGACCGGCTTTGTTATGTCTGTTGAGCTGTATACCCAGATAAACACAGATGTTTAATCTGATAAACTTCCTCTATGTTCCTCTGCTTCTGCATGTTGTGGCATTCATTCTCAGTGGATATCTCTCTTGTAACAACACAACCATGCAACATCAAAGGGGACATCAGTTGTTTGCATATTTTTGAGTTTTCTTACCTGTAGCAACTGTATCACTTCTTTCATCTGTTTCTCCACCTCAGCAGCCTGCTCAGTCTGCTCTCCCAGCTTTTGGAGACTCCCCTCATGGTTCCTCAGAGTCTGGCTGATTTTCGCTATCTTTGCCTCAGTGGTTTCATAAACATAGTTAAGGGATTCGCTGAACTGTATGACACCAAACATGAGCACATTGACTTCTTCCTTTGGCGCAGCCTTCTCTTCCATCTTGCTGGTCTTGGCGAGCGGAGCTGCATGGACTGCTCCAGCCACACAAAGCAAACACAGGCCCCAGATCATCACAATACCTGACGCTTACGAACTGACTGAAGTCTTGTCATGTGTTTCACTCGGTTGTTTGTTATTGCTTTTCCAGCAATTCAGCTAGTTTGGGAGAAAGTTTGTTTGATGCAAAATCTCACAAGGAAGGAAAGCAGTAAAATTAGTATTTGTCTATCACAGCTGTGCAGAGGTTAGCATCAGAATAGCCCCTGGATGATGAGTTTGTAGGGTGGTCACTGTGCCTTTATATTGGATGTGTACATGCAAACACTGTGGTAAAACATTAGCTCAGCAGTGGTTCGATCACAGGTCTTCTCTGTGATCTCAGTGGCCTTGCCTTGAAGTTTAACCTTAAATGACATTTATCATTTAGGTCACAAACACATGTGACATACATAACTATGTATGTAGCTCTCTTGTCTTTGATACAGAAGATATATGCTTTCCAATGAGCGGTATCACAATATGTGCAGTAAGTGTTATATAATGTTATTTCAGAGTTGCATGATTTTGTGATGAGTCATGGCATCTTGACAAGTGGATAAAATCAGCTGTTTCAAAATATATGAACAAATGTTACCTCTGATGTTTGACTTGGAGAGGAGTTTAGGTGACTTTTACCAAGAAAACCCAGTCCATGGTCACATTTTTCCCACATGCTCACACAAAACTCAGTGTCTTTGGTTTTCATCAGTTTTCCAAAAGGATTGATGCTGAATTATGTGTAACATTGCTGACAAAATTGACAGCATAACAAGCTGAAAATCGGGATTGAAACATTAACCATCAGTTTTTCTTAAACTCCCTTGTGGCTTTGCAGTTTTTTTTTTCACTCTGTCCTTGTCACCTCTCACCTTTTTGTTCATTCCCAAACCAACTATGGCCACAGTTTAGAACATGATATCAGGACGGCTGTGTTCCAAAAATGTTGCTGCTGGAAGCAGCTATTGACATGATGCTGTTTTAGAAAAAGTGACATTTTCTAAATGAATCATTAAGTGCAAGGTTCAATCCCTGTGAATGAGACATTAATGTGTGCCTTGCATCATTTTGCCTTTCAGGAATCTGCTATACGTTTACCCACAAACTCTGAACTTCAGCAGTCGCCAGGGCTCGGTGAGAAACATTGCTGTGAAAGTTCAGTTCATGGCAGGAGAGGACCCCAGTCAAGCTTTGCCGGTGAGTCACAGTCAAGGGTAATCAAGTGTCATGACCGCAGGAAAATGAAATTCCAGTCACAAAGAAGAGCTTGAGGCAGTGAAATGCTATAGGACGTCTTCTCAGAAAAGCAAATGTCTTCAAAGCAGCAGATGTTATGAGCAGCAGAGCTGACAGGTCTGGTTAGATTTGGTAAGCTGCAGTAAATATTGGTCATAACTCTCATTTATTCTTGTTTGTTGAATATCCAGTGGATGCACAGCATACTGTACTTGCTTCAAGTGATACTCCACCCAAATGGACCTTTTGTGTACCAACCACTCATCCCCCCGTAGACCTGGGAAGATGCAGTTAAAAGCTATGGAGTAGTAGTTTGCTCCTTCACAAATAATGAGGCTGTTGTCACATTAAATTCAGTTACAATAGATTCCAGTGGTGACGAGCTAAAGCAGAACTAATGTCAAAATGTTCACAGGAACTTCCTTAGACCACTTCTCCAACATGATCCATTTTTTATCATCTTACTATCTACATGCTATATATTGGAAACGCCAGCTAAATATACTGCACTGCAAGAGTATTGCTTTAAAATCATTGGCTCAGGTTAACTGTTGTAATATTTCCAAATATAATAGATCAGATTTATTGAAATGTGCCTATGTAAATGACTCATCAAGTTTCACAGAAGATTTAAGTAAGGCAAGAATTACATCATGGATTCCAAGGTCAAAAAGTCTTCGGAGATTTTGCAGCTTAAATCCGATAGTAACAGAGAGACGTTTATTTGCAAAGTGAACAACAGTCAGTGAAGTGCTGAAAACATCCTGTCTGTGAAATTCTTGAATGCAGTGGCGTGATTATGTTTACAGTGCCTCCTATTAGTCATGGAACAGCTTTGTTTGTACTCTGTCATTTCGACCAGGTCATCTTTGGAAAGTCGAGCTGTGCTGAGTTCATGAAAGAGGCGTACACCCCTGTCATCTACCATAACAAGTAAGGCTGAGTCACCTGTTGACCCTCTACTGGTGCCTTTCCAACTTTTTCTTCTTTGATAGTGTCTCCCCTAAACGTTGTGTTTAACTCTTGCCCTGAAGGTCTCCTGAGTTCTACGAGGAGATGAAGATGAAGATTCCTGCCAATCTGACAGATAACCACCATCTGCTGTTCACCTTCTACCACATCAGCTGCCAGCCCAAACAGAACACTCCTCTGGAGACCCCTGTGGGCTACACTGTGAGCTCACTCCTTCAGCTGGCCCACATTTACCACATCCACCCACACACACACTTTTGCTTGAAAGCGCCGTCTGTTGTCTTACCACTGGTAAAAGATCGTGTGTCTCTCCTTTCTGCCGTCAGTGGATCCCTCTGATGCAGCATGGCCGACTACGCACTGGCTCCTTCAGTCTGCCTGTCTCGGTGGAAAAGCCCCCGCCTAGCTACTCTGTACTCACCCCTGACGTGAGTGTTTTTCAAAGAGATTATGTGAATATCAGTTTGCCTGCCATCACCTGCTCCTTTCTGAGTGTTAAGTGAGTTGGTTGTCACTCTGTGGCAGGTTCAGCTCCCAGGCATGAAGTGGGTGGATAATCACAAAGGAGTGTTCAATGTCGAGGTGACAGCAGCTTCCTCGGTTCACACTCAGGTACACATATATGTTTTCTATACCGAGCACCAGCGGAATGAGGTTAGAGTTACTGGGAGAGGTCTGATAGTTATGATAATTAATGTCAGCATCCATAGGTGTCATTTAATGTGAATTTAAACACCCTTAGTTGTTCTGTGGTAAGAAAGCAAAACTGTGGAGCATAGAGATAAAGCTAACTCAGAATTCTTTCTACATATCTTAATGTCTTAAAGTCTTCTGCAATATAAAATCAGTGCTGCCAAAGTAAAATTCGCTGAGTTCAGTTGGTGCTTAGTATTCACTGTTCTTGTACCTCTAGGACCCCCACCTGGATAAGTTCTTCACTCTCGTGTATGTTCTGGAGGAGTACTCTTTCCCCTTCCGCCTGAAGGACGTCATCATAACCGAGGCAAACATGGAGGGGGAGCTGAAGGCCAGCATAGCTGCACTGAGAGGGTCTCTGCTGGACACCTGTGTCAGGTTTTTGCACCAGCTGCTCAATAAGCTCATTCAGCTCATCGTCTACCCACCGGTCATTGCGGGTCAAATTGGTAAGTGAGTTCTGAAAGAGCGCTATACGTGAATTCTGCTTCTGAAGATCTGATGTGCACCTGGAACAAGGCTAAAATGTTAATTCTGATCAGTTAAGTCAGTGGTCCCCAACCACCGGGCCCTGGACCCGTACCATGCCGCGGCATATTCGCTGCCAGGCTGCACGGAAAGGGCGAATTAATACATTTTTTTTTATCTGGTAAAATACAACAGTTGCCTGGTAATAGGATATTTGGGGCCCAGTCACTATTAACTGCCATGTATTTATTTTCTACTTATTTTCTATAATTATTTTCTATTTTTAACTTGTATCCATTTTATATTTACTATTTCAACTAAAACCTCTCCATGGTGCAAAAAAGGTTGGGGACCGCAGATTTCAGTAGATGATGATGATGATGATGATGATGATGATGATGATGATGATGATGATGACGATGAACATTTTTGTTTGGCTAAACATTAGTTACATTCTGAAGTGTAAATCATACCACACATAAAACAGTCATACACGATTTAATATGCGGCTCATGCTGCTCTCATGCTTAAATTACAGTGAACCTGGGCCGTGCTGCCTTCGAAGCTATGGCATTGTTGGTCAACCAGATGCACAAGAACCTGGAGGGGAACCAGGATCAGCACGGCCGCAACAACCTGTTGGCATCCTACATCCACTACTGCTTCCACCTGCCCACCGCCGAACCTGTAATGCCCCCGACAGGTGAGTTGTATCGATAAACAGAAAGAGAAGCTTTCATTTGATTTACATGTGTTGGTTTGCTAACGTTTCTTTTCCCTCCATATCCACAAGGAGCGGGCACTCAGTCTTACGAGATGCCTATGCAGTACGCCACCTTATCGAGAGCAACCGCCCGCCCAAGCAGCCTGCACCTATCCCGCTCCAAGAGTATCAGCAACTCCAACCCTGACCTGGCCAGCACACCGGTTTCTCCTGACGAAGAGGTGCAAAGGATCATAGGGAGCAAGGTGAGTTGTGCTTGTCTTTGTAAATCTGTGGTATTTATTAGAGCTGTACAACTGTTACTGTAGTTAGTGTGTATGTAAGTTCTGGAAAAGCCAAGACCTTTTGAAGGTCATGCTGCCTGCAGTTAAATACTGAAAAAGTTTCTTATATTTTGTGAGAAATCTGTACCAATGTATTTGCACATTCATTTAATTTGCAAAATCTTATTCTCTGTGGCATTAAAAAGGTCTTGTAGTTGAATGAGTAATGATGTTTGTGGTGGGGATTTTGACTAATTTGTTTTCCTAGTACATAAACAAGAAACAGCAGCACAAAACTATGTTTTTATGGGACCCCCTGTGCCATGTCCCCAACCTCTTTATCCAATATCAGTCTATTATTTTGTTGTAATGACACTGCTGCCCTCCCTTGTCTCATCTCTTCACAGCAGATTCAATAGTCTGTGGTTGACTGAGAACTCTGTGCCAACAGTTAATGATGCCGTCAGTCAAAAATGCAATTATGCTTTGTGCCGCTGTCCCTTGTGATTTATATAGTACCTCCAGCCCTTCTTTTGTTCTCCCCTCTCCTGCTTTATTTTCTGTTTTTAGCTTCACTTTTTTTCCCTTATTTTTGTTCCCTCCAAAAATTTCTCCTTCACGTAATCTCCTGTGTGGTAATTATCTTCCCTCTACTCACTGTGCCCTTGCCTCTTGCTGCTCTATGTGTGTTTGTGTGTGTGTGTGTGTGTGTGTTTTGTGTGTGACTCCGGTGGCTTATGGCAGGGCATTGACCGCTCCCACTCCTGGGTAAACTCTGCTTATGCCCCTGGGGGCTCCAGATCTGTGCTACGCCGGAACCCCAACTCCAGCTGTGAGCTCAAGCAGGTGCCAAATCCCTCCTCCTCCTCCTCCTCCTCCTCCTCCTTGTCCCACTCCTCACCTTCATCACCTCCATCCTGAACCATCTCTGATCAGCTCTCATGGGTCAACTCCTCCCTCAGTTCTCTGGGGTTGTATATGTGTGTGCGTCTTTCTGCCTGTCACGCTGCTAGCCATGTCCATGCTGTCGCACCTTTTCATCCACAATAACACGTTGTCCGTCCTTTACAATTCATCGTCTCACCGCCGCTTAACAGACCATATCTGTTTTTGTCTGAATGACGCACTCTCTGCCTGGGGCTCGTCAGATTTCTTACCAGCCTTGCACTCATCAGAGTTCATAGAGAGTTCTCTGGCCACCCGTCCGTTTCCATTCATCCATTTTCGCATCACTTTGTCCTCATCTCTGTGTGTTCACTTCACCATCACTCCATGTCAGGCAAACGACCGCAGCTGCAATCGCATGTCTGCCTTTCTGGACAGCGTGGCCTTGTTTTCAGTTCCGACAAGGCAGATTACCAAGAAGGTAAAACTGGCATCTACTATAACTAACTGTAAAACTGGCAGTCACCATAACAAACTGACACATTTCAATGTCCTAACAGTCATCAACTTTCAATATCATTAACACTAATCAACATTCACAATTGTGTCTATGTGTGAGTAGTTGAACATTTGCTTCTTGATACACTTACAATGAATAGTTTATTGTCTGGATTTCAGGACTTAATCTGTGGCAGAGGTTCTGATTAATCTGATAAATATATTTTTATTATCAATGTTTAATTTACAATAATCTTATTTTATTTCAGTTTGTATCTAGAGTCTGAATAACTATCAAATAATGGCTCAATTATCTGTACAAACCACAGTCACTGTTCACAGTTTGCTCCTTGCGACAGCAAACATACACAATTTTAATCTTAATGGTTCATCTAGTTTCTGAAATTGTTTCCTCGAGTAAGAGAAAACCTGGTCTGTGTTGGTTCATTCATAGCTACTCCATGAGGAGCTGGCATTACAGTGGGTGGTCAGCACCAGCACAGTGAGGGAAGCAGCGCTGCAGCAGGCCTGGTTTTTCTTCCAGCTTATGGTCAGTATGCCTTTGAAAAAATGAACAGTAATTTTACAAAACAATCTAAACAGTGGGGCCATTATTATAGCATGAAAATTCAAATTTCCATTAAGTGACTATGTTTTCTTATTGACCCTCTCCTTCAGACAAAGAGCATGGCCAATCACTTATTCCTGACCTCGAAATTAGACATTGCCAGGCGTCAGCGTTTCCCAGACCGCTTTGTGGACGACATTGCTGCACATGTGTGCGCCATCAGTGCAGACATTGCCAACCGATACCACAAGGTACAGATGAGCTGAGTGTTGACCAATAAAAGATGATTGTGGTTTTTAAGTGTTTGTTAAATATAAAGTTGCCATGTCTCTTATGCAATGCTTGACTCAGTGATTTCAATAACCTAATGTACAGTATCATATTCTTCCTTTTTGTCTTATTATATCCACCTATTTCTCTGACATGAATATCTCCCCCTCTCTCTCAGGATGTGGAGCTTGTGGAGAGGTTAAACAACAGTCTGGCCTTCTTCCTGAATGACCTGCTGTCTCTCATGGACCGGGGCTTTGTGTTCAACCTAATGCGCTCCTACTACAAACAGGTGCTTTTTGCCTCCCTGTTTTCCTCTAATATCAAACACACTCCCACTCATATTTTAAAACAGCTTTTACTGTCTCAAACAAACTTGTATGCTGAACAGATTGCCAGCAAGCTCCACACTGCGCAGAACCCCAGCTCTCTGAATGCACTGAGGATGGACTTCACTCGTATCGTCTGCAGCCACGAGCACTATGTCATCCTCAACCTGCCGTGCTCAACCCTCAGCCCTCCAGCCTCCCCCTCCCCCTCGACATCCTCCACCACTTCACAGGTAACTGGAAAATGTAATTCAGCTTGGTTAATTCCCTGTTTAAATATATTCTTACTGCCCGCTTATTCTTTTATCCCTCTGCTCATTATCTGTAGAGTTCAGCGTTTTCCAGTATGGTGCAAGACCAAGGTGTGGCCACCATGTTTGAGCTCTCCGTCCCTTTTCGCCACCAGCACTTCCTGTCTGGTCTGCTGCTTACCGAGCTCTCTCTCATTCTTGATCCTGATGGAGAAGGGTGGGTTGTTGTTGGTTGCACTGATTTCACCAAGAGATCGAATCTTTAACACATTATAGCATAAAATACAAGTGCACAATCTGAAACACACTGATATACCATATTTTTTTTACCCACAGGGTTTTCTTCCTTCATAAAAAGGCCATTAGTGCTGTTCACTCCCTGCTCTGCAGCCATGATGCAGACCCCCGCTACAGTGACCCTCAGGTCAGAGCCCACATTGCTCAGCTCTACCTGCCCCTCATCCCCATTGTCATGGAGACACTGCATCAGCTTCACGACTTCTCTGGTCAGAAAAACATATATGCAGTTCACTAATATATTTATCCACCTCTTCGACATCCTTGGGTTTTATTTCCAGTATTATTGCACCTGAAAGCACTTTTCGTATTTCTTTGCAGACTCCTCGCCTGCGCGGGTCCGCCATGCCTCAGCCCACACCGATGACGCTGACCCAGACGGTAGCAACACTATCAGTCAGTCTGTTGCCATGGCGATTGCCGGCTCCCCTCTGCCGCATGCCAAAGCCAACGCATTTGCACTACCCACAGTGGTGAGTGATAGTGGCAAGGGTCAGGCTGTTCCCCCGGGCCCTACAGACTGGCAGGACACAGGTTGGCGTCTGTGTGGGAGGCTGCTGCCTCAGTTTGACAGACGACCACTCTGGCCTTTCTCTAACTGCACAGACACTCATTCAAAGAGCATTTGCATTCTTTCCATGTTGCTCTTCTATTCTGAAGCACAACTGCTCCTCTTAGCCTGTAGGTGGCTCTCTGTCCATTTTCTTTATAGCTCTCTTTAACAGCCATTTTGTACTGAAGCACATTTAAAGACTGGCACTGAGTTTTGTATGTTTGTCTTCGTCAGGCTGGGCGGCAGTCCAGCTCTCTGTCCGCTGAGTGCAGCAGGACTCTGCTGGTGTGTTTCCTGTGGGTGCTGAAGAATGCAGATGCAGCTCTCCTGGAGCGCTGGGTGTCTGATTTGTCTGTGTTGCAAATCAACCGCCTGCTGGATCTGCTGCATCTCTGTGTCTCCTGCTTTGAATACAAGGTACAATAACCAGGCACTGCTATTACTATGAGCGCCTTTCATCACTGATACACACTAGGAATCCAAAACAATATTCAGATGTGCCAGAGCAACAGCACATCATTACAGATATATTATTCCTTTCAAGAGGGTTTACTGTCTTAATTAACAGATGATCAATTCTGTATTGCTGTATTTTCCACTCCTTTGCTGTTTACTGCAGGTTTTAATTGAATTGACATTTGTTGTATTTGCCCTAAACTGATGTTTGGGTGTCGTTGTAGGGGAAGAAGGCTCTGGAGAGGATCAACAGCTTAACGTTTAAAAAGTCTCAGGACATGAAGGCCCGACTGGAGGAGGCCATACTGGGCACCATTGGGGCTCGTCAGGAGATGGTTCGCCGCTGTAGGGGTGCGTTGCATGAGAGCACATTAGTGTGTGTGTGTAGCTGTTTTTGTTTGAGGTGTTTGTTTGGCTGTGCTCATGGAAACTATAATTTGTTTACTCTTCCAGAAAGGAGTCCCTATGGCAGCCAAGAGAACGTTAGGTGGAGAAAGAACGTCACTCACTGGAGACAAAACACAGACAGAGTGGATAAGTGTGTCCTTTATATTTGTTACATCAATACCAACCAAAGCAGTAAATTTCTTACCTGATAGTTTGTGAAAAATTTGATAGATTTCTAGATTATGGACACACTTTTGTGTAATAGACTGACTGTAAAATAACATCTATTACAGGACTAAAGCTGAGGTGGAGCAGGAGTCTGTGGTGGATGGAAACCTAGCTACTGAGGCCTCTCTGATAGTACTAGACACACTGGAGATTGTAGTCAAGGTAAAACAATGGGGAATAGAACACCACCGCGCTCAATACAATGGCCTTTGCCAGCTGTTGTGACATTATTCCCCTGCTGCAATATATTTTTTCTCTGTCCTCTTTCAGACTGTGGTGGCGTCAGAGCTGAAGGAAAGTGTTCTAGGCGGGGTACTGAGAGTGCTGCTCCACAGCATGGCAGGCAACCAGAGTGCCCTCTTCCTGCAGCACTGCTTCACTACACAGAGGGCTCTGGTTTTCAAGGCAAGTACAGTTTGTATTAGTGTGCCAAGTGTCTCCATTAAAGCCTATTGTTTTATTATTCTTTTTTAAACAATCTATTATTAATTCAGCTTGATATATTACTAGCACACTAGTAATTTTTCTCCCGACACATTGGCCCCACATTTGTGTTTTATATTTATGCAAGAAAAATAGAATTTTATAGAAACAAATAGTAAATCTTATTTAATATATTTTTGTTAGGAGTATACAAAGTGAGAGAGTGTGTTTCTGTGTGTAGTTCCCAGAGATGCTGTTTGAAGAGGACACTGAGCTTTGTGCAGACCTGTGCCTCCGTCTCCTTCGTCACTGCAGCAGTAGTGTCGGCTCTGTCAGAAGTCATGCCTCCGCCTCTCTTTACCTGCTCATGAGGCAGAACTTTGAGATTGGAAACGTAAGTTTAGGCATGTTTTTGCATTTCGTTGTTCTTGCATAGCTAAGGGACATGCCGCAAACAAAACTGGATCTACAGAACACACACAGGATGTTTATGAAAAGGATTGTCTCATCATCATCTCATCATGTCGTGAGCCACAGTCTGTCCTATTTCTTTCCTTGGGCCAGAACTTTGCACGAGTGAAGATGCAGGTCACCATGTCTCTGTCCTCGCTGGTGGGAACGTCGCAGAACTTCAACGAAGAGCATCTTCGTCGGTCGCTCAAGACGATCCTAACATATGCTGAAGAGGACTTGGAGCTGCGTGACACGCCCTTCCCGGAGCAGGTACGCAACAGCCTTCTCGCTGTCTGCACAATGTCGAGATGTGGAACTGCCAGACTTTACTAATGTGCTTTGTTGCACCTCTGAAACTGCAGGTCCAGGATCTGGTGTTCAACCTGCACATGATTCTTACTGACACTGTGAAGATGAAAGAGCATCAGCAGGATCCAGAGATGCTCATTGACTTAATGTACAGGTACTGGGAGGCCCATCAGTGAGACTGGCATATAATAATAAAGTGTCATGACTTAAACCTAAGATATTCTCTCACTTTATGACTTCAGGATTGCCAAGGGCTACCAGAACTCACCAGACCTGCGTCTTACGTGGCTCCAGAACATGGCGGGAAAACACTCTGAGAGAGGGAACCATGCCGAAGCTGCCCACTGTCTGGTCCACAGCGCCGCACTGGTGGCAGAATACCTCAACATGCTGGAGGATTGCCGCTACCTGCCAATTGGTTGTGTCACTTTTCAGGTAAGTGCATGCTGTTTCTTTGGTGACTGATTCCACAGTATGGGCAGCAGAATGGCCGAATGGGATAGATTGTTCCAAAGCTCTAGTACCAAACTCAAGCCGGTGATTGTTGAAACGAGCAAATATAGAGATAATATGTTTATCATCACTTCTCTGTTTGTTTCCCTCAGCACATTTCATCCAATGTATTGGAGGAGTCAGCAGTATCTGATGACGTCCTGTCTCCAGAGGAGGAGGGGATTTGTGCTGGGAAGTACTTCAGCGAGTCTGGCCTGGTGGGCCTCCTGGAGCAAGCAGCTGCGTCTTTTAACATGGTACGACTCACATTCTCCAACCACATGGTGACAGACTGCATGTTAACACAGCGCAAGGTTACGGTATTAACATGGCTGAGGGAGTGTTATGTGATCGAGTGGTATGTGTAGAACTGGCTCTCCATTGTGCTGTAACCCCAGGCAGCCATGTACGAGGCCATAAACGAAGTGTACAAGATTCTACTGCCCATCCATGAAGCCAACAGAGACTTCAAAAAGCTGGCTACTGTTCACGGGAAACTGCACGACGCCTTCAACAAAGTCTACAACCAAGTGAGTTAACTGCTCGAACTCAAAATCAAATCTGGGCTGTTAGTGTTGATGAGAAAGTGAACTTTATCCTAATTTGCTCCTTGTTTGCTTCTTTTCTTTTCTCAACTTTTCCAGAGTTCAGGATGGGAGGTAACAAGCTCATTTGTTATGTTGTTAGTATATTACATTTAAGGTAAAACAGATTCAGCGATTCCATTTATTTTGGTATTTACACTGTTTTCTTTCTTCCCCACTGCCTGTTCTCTTCTCCCCTCCTGTGTAAATGACATTGCTGGTGAGTGCTACAAAAGTTGCTTTCACACTTTGACATAATGAAGTTGTACCACTGTTACAACACAGCCTCTGTTCCTTTCTGCCACCCTTCTACTGTCGGCAAACTACATTTCAGTATATATTTTTATATACCTACAAACGGTATTCTTCTATTGCGAAACCAGTCATTTTAACTTTATCATTTTCCACAACCTCCATGAACAGAACAAATCAAAAGATTTCCAGCTCTATTACAATAAAAACGTGTCTATTTCTTTGTCCTGTTCTCCTATTAACACATAGGCTGTGTGTCTGCTCCATGCTGAGTTTAGTTCACTCAGCCTCTGCATTGTTTAATAATCATCTTTTCATCCCTTCCTCTAGTGTTCAGAGAATGTTTGGGACTTACTTCCGGGTCGGTTTCTATGGCTGCCGATTTGGAGACCTGGATGAACAAGAGTTCGTCTACAAGGAGCCGTCAATCACCAAATTAGCCGAGATTTCCCACAGACTTGAGGCGCGTTAACTCTTCATTATACTAACAAAGGTGTCAAAGTGATTTATGAGAAACACGTGTCTAAAGGTGAATCTGTTTGATGCTCAGGAGTTCTACTCAGAGAGGTTTGGGGATGAGGTGGTTGAAATCATCAAGGACTCCAACCCAGTGGACAAAACCAAACTGGATGCCAACAAGGTGACATGATATGTATATAATTGACTCATAACATACCACTACAGATTTTGGAAAAGGTATAATTGTACTGATGTGTGTTCGTATCTGTTGAAGGCCTACCTCCAGATCACCTATGTCGAGCCGTACTTTGATACATACGAGCTAAAGGAAAGGATCACCTACTTTGACAAGAACTACAACCTGCGTACCTTCATGTACTGCACTCCCTTCACGCTGGACGGCCGAGCCCACGGCGACCTGCACGAGCAGTACAAACGCAAAACCATTCTGACAACATCTCATGCCTTCCCTTACATCAAGACGCGTATCAACGTTATCCACAAGGAGGAGGTGGGTGTCTGTCCAGGGCGGATTTTAGTTTCAGTGGCCACACCGATGTTGGACATGGATAAAAAGAAGAAGATACGACGTTCTCTCATGCTGTTGTCTTTTGTTCTTCAGATCATTCTTGTCCCCATGGAGGTGGCCATTGAGGACATGCAGAAGAAGACTCAGGAGCTCGCCTTCGCCACAAACCAAGACCCTGCGGACTCTAAGATGCTGCAGATGGTGCTGCAGGGCTGTGTGGGCACCACTGTCAACCAGGTGTCTGTTTATATACATAGAAATGGGAAAAAAAAAAAAACATAGGGTGCACACCTAAACTGCCGTCCCTCACATCCTCCTGGGGTATTAATCCCATCAGAATGGGGTTGAAAGTCTGGGTCAGTGTTTTAAGTAGTGACTGACATTCCTTAGCAGATGTGTAACAGGTTCTCTCCCTCACAGGGCCCCCTTGAGGTGGCGCAGGTCTTTCTTTCCGACATCCCTAATGACCCAAAGCTGTTTCGCCATCACAACAAACTGCGCCTCTGCTTTAAAGACTTCAATAAGAGGTGATGACACACTCCACAGCCCAGGCGCAGACTGCTGTGTAACTAATAAAAACAAATCCCAACCCCCTGCGTCTCCTCTGCTCTCTCTCTCTCTCGCAGGTGTGAGGATGCCCTGAGGAAGAATAAAGCCCTGATTGGACCAGATCAGAAGGAGTACCACAGAGAGCTGGAGAGGAACTACAACAAGCTGAAAGAAGCTCTGGGTCCTCTCATCAACCGCAAGATCCCTCAGCTATACAGAACCCTGCCAGCTCAGACTACGCAAACACAACGGTAACTTGAGACATTAAACACACACACACAAGCACGCCCACGTACTGAGACACACAAAATGAGCTCATGCTGCTTTCTCCAACCCCATCAAACCAACAAAAGGGCGACATAAAACCAAACTTTATTACAATCCAGGTCATAGACGTGAATGGATGTGCACTCAAACCTAGTGACCTAATAACTGTCCATTTTCTTTTTTTGTATTAATTAATAAAAGAAAGTAGGTGCACTTCTTGAAGTATTTCAGACTGTTTGACTATGGAAACTATCACCATATGTTTTTTGTTTTCATCTGCTTTTGGCATAAGCTCTGTGTTTGCACGTGAGTGTCTGTAGACTGCTGGGTCATAATCAAAAACAGCTACAGTCAACAGCACCTGCCACAGCAACGATTCAGTACTGAGGAAAATAAGAAGTTTCAACTTCCAAACTAATTAAAATGAAAATGCATGTTGGGGGGAAAAAACTTCTTGAGTTATTTCAGTTGCTTTGAGAACTGCTCAAAAGCAACTGAAAGAAACTGAAGAGAATGAAATAATGAGGTGGTTTTTACCTCATTCTTACTCTTTGGAAGAAGATACTCATTTCAAAGTCATGTCAGCTCATAGTGGGACACCACAAAAAGACATTATTCACAGCTTTCACTGTAGCTCCTTCACTCCCCGGGTCAGATTTTATGCCTCAAGTAAATTTCAAAGTAACAAATTATTCATATGTCACAAAATCCAATGCTACACTCACTGCCCCTCAGTTGCTTTTGCTGATTGCTGACACATTTTTCAGGAGAGTAAACTAAGATACTTGGAGTTAAAGATTCTTTATTGTTGTGCTTGTCTCTCCTTCAGGAACTCCTACAGTAGGTCCAGTCTCCGCAGAGTTGACTGTTGAGGCACAGAAAACTGGATAACACCACAGAACAACAAGCTTTAGAAATTAGCACCATCTCTTCCCGTCTGTTCCCCCTCCCCCCACTGCACCGCACACCAACTGTCACACGTACTATCCTCCTTTACCCCACCCCACCCCACCCCACCCAGGCCACCCAGCCATGCCATAATCCCCCTACCACACACATGCAAACACACACACACACTTGTCACCTCTTTCCCATCTCCCCCATTAGAAACACTCTCACACCTCGGAAGGAGAAAACCTTCGCTGTTTATGCTGGAAGGTTTTCTGCACTGTAAACATCGTCATTGACATGTCAGCGTTTAAAACCAAGTTTTCAAAAGCTGTCTCCTCACTGACAATCCAAAGTAATCTATCTGAGCCTGAGCTGGTTTTAACTTTAGTTTTTGCAGGATTAGAGCTGCCAAACACATTTTGTAACCAAATCATTTGGTTGTTTATTCATGAATGTGACTGTTTTACTTTTTCTTCTTGTGTTTGCTTTTGAAGAGGCTGTAGGTTGTCTGTTTTGTGTCGCGGCCTTATTTAATTTGAGATTTTTTTCTAAACTATGCCTGGTCAATGCCAGACTTAGTTATTAAATAGTCCCAGGGAGTTTTCTTTTTTTATCAACAGACCAAATAACTGACATTCCTTCTTCCTCAGGTCGTCACATTTATCTGCCCATCTCCCGTTATGAGAGTTCATTATAGAGAGGAGGTGGGAGGACCAGGAGGGACACACTATAGCTGCAGTTTAAGGGGAAAGCATTACTGTGGTGGGGGGGAAAGGGCAGGAACGGATGTTTAAATGTGTTTTTTAAACTGTGAAATTCTCCTGTAATGCACTGCCGTCACATCAGATGTTTATCACAGAAGCGCTGCCCTCAGCCCGGCCGTCCCCTTCACCCACACAAATATGTTCAAACTGTGACATTTACTATCACCCTGCAGTAACTGGATACATTTTGTCTGTGTACTTTAAGACAGACTGTATTTGAACTTCTGTTGAAAAGCGCCTCCAAATGTCTTATATGTGTCCACCACCCTGGCTGTGGAAGATTTGTATTCATAGTAGCCATTAACAACTACTGTATCTATTATATTGCACTATTGTAGTACTACAAACTGCAGCACATTAACACTGTAACTACTAAAATATCTGTGCTTTTATTTTACAAGGCTGGAAATTGTTTTTTAACCCATTAGATGAACATTTTGTTATTTATTTACACTTTTTACTGCATTCTATTAAATTTCTCTTCCTATGCCTCTGTTCAGCTTCTGTTTGTGTGGCTACAGAGCTGAAGGATAGACACTGTAAACACATGGAGTAGTTTAAATGCTAATTTCAGTCACTGTGATACATTTTTAAACCAGTTTTTTAATGACAGTTATTGAAAATATGTAAGATTCACATTATGATTTTAGTCTGAGCTCTTCAGTAGTCTGTTTGTATCGCATTGTAATATGATAAGTCAGTCTTGAAAGGGATTTGTTTGTTTAATGTTCATTGTACTATCTAGCAAAGCCAACTGTTCTGGTCTTGGAAATATTTTTGAAATATTCTTTTTTGTACATTGAAACACACAGAACAAAGCAGATTCAGACCATACAGAAAATGTGCATTGAGCAAGTTTTTTTTTTTAGTAAAGCTATTTGACGTTAATTTCATGTTACTTGCCTCAAGTCTTATTTTAAGGTGAAGGATTTCATGTCCAAGGCAAACATTTATAAATACACATGGATATATCACTGTACTTGTTTTCTTTTTATCGGAAAAATATCTAAATTTTCCATTGCAATCTGTCGTGTTTTTATTCTTGCCTTTAATCAAGCAGTTTAATCAGGAACACCTGGTATGTCTGCGATGAATGTAATTACCTGCAGTTAACTATGTGCTAGAACAGGTGAAAGTGATTTCACTGATTAGTTCGCCTACTGTTGGCTTCAGTAAATATGACAACATGTAAGTCCAAAACCTCAGCACTTTGAACCCTGACGCTGAATCACATTATTCTACATTTCCACAGAACTGCATCATTCACTACAGTTTGTGTTACATGGTGATAACAATAATGGGCCTTCATTTTCTATACCGTTAGTCTAATTTCCTCTGGCAGCACAATGATCCATGTTATAGCCTGTGATGTTTGTGTAATTTACAAGAACGAAGCACACCACATTTATAATGGGGCACTTCATAACAACTTGCAGTTGCTTATCCAATCAGAGCTGAAGACTGGAAGTTTCTCTAACAGTTTCTCTCCAGGTGAAATGGAAGTACGATATCAGCTGTTGTGATAGAGAAATGTAACTGTACCCATGCAATGTTTTGTGGATTTTCTTCCTTTAAAGCATTTTTCCTGTCAGAGTGACCAACATTAATACGTAGTTAAAACATTTTTATTTCTATTTGTATGCACGTGAGAGACACTTGAATGTTTGAGTTCTGTCTCTTTCATTCTTTCCTGAAGGCTTTTTTTCTTTGAAGGTGCTTAGCAGTATTAGGAGGTCCTTAAATGTCCTCTCAGGTTCTTAGAGTTCCTTCCTTGAAGAACCTTGAATGCTCTTGAAAGTACTTGGTGGTCTTTGAAGGTCTTTTGTGGGCCTTGAAAGAGAACATTGATGTCCCAAGGTCTTTAGGAGGTCGTTCCACTGAGGTTCTGGATCCTGACTGATCTGTCCACTGAGGTTCTTCATGCCCATGATGGTGCTTGAATGGCTTTTAAAGGTTGATGGAGGTGTTTGGATTTGAGGGTCTTCACCTGTAGATGCGTGAAGAAGCATGGATCCTCGGAAGCCCTACGAGGGGCTTTCAGACCCTTTCGGACACCTGAAGATGATGAAAGAAGGACGAAGGTCGGTAGACTGTGTGTGTGTGTGCGCGCGCGTGTCAGAGGGAGACAGCCCTGCTTCTTGGCCTCGTGGCCGCTGGCCCTTTAAGAGGAGCGGGAGGGGGCGCTGAGCATCTCGGCTGCGGTGTTTTTGTGTCTCTGTCAGTGAGCGCTCCTGGGCCGAGGCGGCTGAAAGGATTTCCAAAGGGCAGGTAAGAAGCAGAAAAGACAAACTTACACTTCCTCTGTTTGAAAGCTGTCTTGGACTCTCTGTTCAACTGCATTTTAAAGCGCTTCAGACGAGGCGCCTTCTTGCTCGTGTGACTTCTTTTGTGAAGCGTCGGTCCTGCCCATTCCCCCGGTCCTCTCTCTCCGAAGTAACGGGTCCTTTATCCTCCTGAACCCACCCCCTCCCCGGTTATACTCATATTTCTCCCTAATGTTCTGACTAATGGGGTTTTTTAATTTCACATGAGTGTTTCTTTAGTTTCAGAGGAATGTGTAGCTGAATCTTATGGTCGCTCTCCGGTGCGTGCCTTTTTGTTCAGAGCATCATTGGAGGCTAAGTCAGGCTGCACGGTCGCGAGGAGCGCCGTTAACGAAACATCTAGCCTATTATTGTCATGATAATAGGTGATCAATAATAATAATACTAATTCTGTTGCAACTAAAAGTGTGTTTGCCATACTGAAATTTAAGTTTATTCATTTCACTGGGTTTAATTTTTATCATATAGGGAAATTACCTCTAGAAAAGCTGCATTTCTGTACAGTATCCCTGTAAAATCCATAGCTACACTGTTATTTTCATCATTGTAAGTGATTAAAGCAGGAGTTTAAGTGTTGCAGCTCTTCTACAGGAGTCTATACAGTTATGTGGCATTGCCAAATCTTATCCCACACGTCATTTCTTAACCCGGCAACACATTTGGGTGTTCGTTTCTCTTTGCCCTTCATTATGAAACTTTTCCTCGTGCCTCACACATGATCTGTTGCAACAAACCCACCGTTTTTCATTTTACTTTTAAAAAAAGAAAATGGTGAAAAGCTCACTGCAGACTGTAAGGACTCAGGGGAGAGGGTGGGTCTGTGCATTCTGCAAGTTTTCATTAGTTCCAGATGTTCATCAGCTTTTCGTTGCCGCTTCTTGCGTCTCACATTTGCTCATCTCGCCGCCTGAAGTTACTGGTCACTGAGGGGAGTTTATATCCTCAGAAGATGGATGAGGTCTGATGAGGTCTGATGGAGTTGTGTGTCAGCAGGGCAAGAGGAAGGTAAACAAGACTGAAACTCCAATGAGTCACATTTGTACAGGCACCACTTGCTCTTTTTCAAGTACCTTGGTGCCTGGCTCTCCCTGGTTTCCCTTGATAAACTAGTTAGTAGGGTCTTAATAGGCAAAATTCATAAATCAGTGTTTTCCCCTCAATAACTTTATTGTTTTATGTTAATATGGACGCTGTTTGTTTTATAATGAACTTTGTGTGACAGGATGTCTTATGACATGTGTGGCAGACTGTCCATATTCATCAGTAAACACATCAGATGTTTTGATGAACGACATGGAGAGCTTGGGGGGGGGGGTCATCGGCCTGTTACACTGCATCATACAATACACCACTGTCCTGCTGTTGTGTAATGGGCAGTATTAAATCACCTACTAGCAGCTGCTTGGCTCTCAGATGGGCTCTGTCCTGTCATTCATGCTGTTAAATTGGCCTGCTAGTGCCAATATTTTGCCTATTAGTTGGTATATCTTCATATTTAATTCTCATATTACAGTACAGTTCAACAGCACCATAACTGCAGCCATGAAAATGACAGTGAAGTTACATCTGCACCTCTCAGCAATAGTTTTAAAAAACAAAAACATTATAACCCTTATGAGGGCATATTGCAGACATTTAGCTAAGTGGACTTAATGAACTGTCAACTGTATATTTCCTTACTGTTTTGAGATCCAGTGAGTGTGAGTGTAATAACAGTGAAAACTGACTCCTCTTCGCCTGCTTGGGGACCCCTGGAATCCCATCAGAGACCCCTGGGAATCCCCCAGGCTGCACGTTTGGGAATTCCTGGTCAGGTTTGTCTGCAGCTGGAGTTTCCTTCACCATTTTTTTGTCTGAGCTGGAATGTGATTGTCACATTACAGCAGTTGGACACAGGGGTGCTGTGGTGGAATGCAGGGTTATAAACCCCATTTGCACACTGGGCCACACGCCGGGCATTTAAATGGTTTAGCGAGGCTAATGAAATTACACCCTGAGCCCGCATGAGACTGTCTGTCACTGTCTAGTGAGGTCTAGTACTGGTTAGCTATTTTGGACAGTTTTAGAGCATGATGAACTATCTGTTCCTTAAGTAACCATGTTATATATCATCACTTGAAATAAGGATGTTTATTGACATAAGGGTCTATGATATTGCTAACGGGCTTCTTCACTGTGCATACATGCAGTCAAGTTGTGTTTTCTTCTTATTGTAAATCCGATATGACGAAAAACCCAAATATACCCTTTTTCACACAATTACAACATTATTTTAAGATATAATGAAATAAAAAGTTTTCGTGTAAGAGGTGGATTAGTTTATAAGTGGATAAACATACGGCCCGGTATTATTATAGTAATTGCTCAGGACAGTGAGGGTTAATACTCCTACTTAACTATATTGTTTGGGTCAACCAGTAAAGTAATGTTTTCAGGGAACATATGGTCTAATCTGGCTTTTGAGGTACTAGAGATAGTAATTCCTTATCTGCCCGAATAATCTGACTTGATCTCTTTTAATAAATTAATCACTCAGAAAAGCAAGATGGACTGTTCTGTCCAGCAAAGCACAAACATGTGAGGGCAGTCAGTGCTATGGATGTTTTCTGGGCCTATTGTTGTCTTTATGTCCACACAGTCTGTTGATCAAGAGCCCTCCTTGAATCAGGAAGTAATTGATAAGATCCCTGTGAGGGAACCACTTAACTAGATCACCACCTCAGGCAGATTACTTCCTCTGTTCTGCTGTGCCATCCGCTCAGCACCACAGCACACGCTGACCTCAGCTTTTAACCCCAACATTGGTGCTCTGGCGTTCCGACTGCTGTCTGGACTTCGTCCCCCAGACCCTATATCTTCCTTGGAACAGTGCAGCGTTCAGCCTCTCTGCTCGGCATCATTCTTAATCCCCACCTCCACAACTGCACAGGAATTTTCTCCCAAATGCCTCTTCTTTTTTTTTTTTTTTCTAGTCTCTTTTTTCCGGTGCCGCTCCTTGCCGCTCAGTCCCACCCTTGCTCAGTTTCCTGTTGGAGGTCAGCACAATGACCAATGGCAGACTGGCGGGTGTTTACTCTGCTCCTGTTCCAGGAGTAATGTGAGCTTCACAGCCCCTCCCTTTGGCCGTACTCTAGCTAGCCAGACTGCTCCAGCCCAGTGCCGTCTGCTCCTCCATACCACCACTCCTTAATGTAAAAAACAGGGCTTTTTGCTAAAGGGCAGAGAATCCTGGAGGGGACGTACCATTGGGTAATGATTTCACTGTCCTGAGTCTAAAGTCCAAATTAGCCAAAAAACCACATGTACACCAGCAACACAAGAGCACACTGTATTTCCATGTTGTTATGAGATCATCTGGCCCCCGTCACGCTTGATGAAGGCCCCATCTTTCAAGCAATGACGTACACTGTTAAGCCACTTCAAGCTGAGTGACAAATGGCTGTTGTTGCCTCTACATTAAGCATTCTGTAGCTTTTCAGGAGGGAAATTTGTTTTTAATTTTTTCTGATTTATTATTCATTGAGGGACCAGTTGGTTGAATGAAGCCATCTGTGCTGCAGAGTGAGGAGGAGGAGGACACAGAAGGCTCAGTAGATAGACCAACAACCGTGACTCCTGTTGTGATCTTAATGTAACATTTAAAGCTCTGC